TTTTTTTTTAAATCTTCTTCTTCCTCCCCCTCCCCCTTCTCTATTCTCTCTTCTTCAACTCTCTCACTCCTTGTAGCCATCTACAACCGTCGTGTGTCGCTGGTCGACCCGAAAAAAGAAAGTCTTTTTCTCTCTCTTCAATCCCAAGTTTTTCTTCTCATAATCTGGGCTCGTATCCCGTTCGATATCTCCTCTTTACGTCCCGTCCCCTTCTTGGCATTGCCGCTACGACGTATTGCAATATATTACGACGCACGATATACACGTACGCACACACCTTCCCGGCTGCTACTACGGATCCGTACCATGATGGCCGTGGAAACGAGGGTAGCTATTCGCGAGCTGGATCTCACTGCCTGCCATGCCAACACGCTATCCGACAAGATCAACTCCGTTCCAGGTCTGAGGACGAGCACAGGTAAGCATTGCCTCACTCTCGTCTCTCCCACACAAGATTCCCTCTTTCTTTCTTTCTCTTCTTCTCTTCTCTTCTCTTTTTTTTTTCCTCCCCCTCCCCAAAAACATTCTCCCCTGCCACCTTCCCAAGATATCTCGACGAGCTTGAACGGATCCATACCCAGAGCTTCCCAAGGTCTAACAAGAGGGGAAAAAAAAAACTACAGCCTTCTTCACCTTCCTCCGTGCCAACCTCGTCTTGGACCACTCCGCCCTATCATCATGCGCCAACACACCCACCCTGGAAGCCACCTCACCGTCCCACGCGCCGTCCTCCCTCGTGGGCCCTGGCCGCGTCCTGTCCTCCGCATCGTCGTCGTCGTCGTCGTCGTCATCGTCGTCTTCCCCCCTGTCCGACGCTCCGCTGGCATGCCTCGACGACATCCCCCCCCTGTCTCTCGAACCGCTCGAGACCCCCGAGGACCGTTCCGAGGGCATGCGCCTCGTGGCCGACTCCGTAGCCCAGATGAGGAACCGGGCCGCCCGGTCCGTGGCCACCCATCCGCTGTGCTTGGCCGGTCTGGGCCTCGGTCTCGCGGCCGTGTACCGCTTCGCCGCGAGCTCCTCGTCCTGCTCCTCCCCCGCCTCCTCGTCGGGCAGGATCGGCCTTCTCCTGGCCTGCGGCCTCGTGGCCTCGTACGTCCTCGCCATCCGCCACCTCACCGCCGGCTACCTCGGTCTGGCCCGCCAGTTCGACCCGGAGGCGCAGGACCCCGTCGCCGGCTGGCTGCGCTGCGCCCCGCCCTCGGCCGCCCCCGTCGGCGGCGACATCGTCCTCGGCGCGCGGTCCACGCGCGACAACAGCCTCGTCGGAGCCCTCGTCCTCCGCCTGCAGCCCAGCCCGGCCGCCTCCGGTCCGTCCACCGGCGGACACGCCCGCAAGAGGAGCCGCGGCGGCGCCGCCTCCTTCCGCGGCGGGAGGGGCATCATCCGCGCCTGGACTACCCGCCTCGGTTTCCGTCGTCAGGGCGCCGGCACAGAGCTCCTCCAGTCCGCCGTCCGCCTGACAAAGGACAGGTGCGGCCGGGACGCCGACGTCGGCTTTGCCATGGAGCACGCTAACAGCACCATGCTCCTGCCTGCCATGTTCAACTCCATCTTCCGCAAGGACGAGATCCGCGCGGCCAAGGCCCTCGATGCTGCCGTCAGCGACTGGGAGATGAGCAGGAAGAAGAGATAGATGCTTCATGTCTACTCGTCTCGACATGCTATCTTTGTGAACCCCCCCCCCCGGCTTCTGTCTCTTTCTCTTTCTTCCAAGCCTTAATATCCTCTCTTCTCTTCGTTTCCAGCACGCTTTCTTTCTTTCTTTTGTTTTTTTACTAGGGAAGTTTTCGTTCTCTCTTCTACCTACGAAAGACAGCCTCTATACACTTGGCCTTAGCACAGTCGTTTTCTCTTCAAGATACCCCCGAACCTTTAGCAGATTATCAGAATATCAAATTTAATCCATCTTTACTGATTCCCTTCCCTCTTGGTATCTTTTCGTACATGTGAATATGAAGCGTGAAAACTAGCAGCAGAAAAAAAAAGAGAGATAAAACAGACAAGGGTGCAGCCAGAAGAAAAAGAAGAAGAAATCAGACATGCTCATCGCCATCATCTGAAGCAAAATAAAATAAAAATAAAAAGGGTGGAGGGGGGTTGGAGGGGAGTGAAAAAGGGGGGGGGGGTGGGGAACACGACAGATTATTGTCGCTCCACGGCGTCATCGAACCGCATCACAGTGCGTCTCTTCTCCCCAACGAGACCATCGGGGTCGAATCCGTAGATGGGCGTCCCTAGTCGTCGGAGAGCATAGATGACCTGCTTTCCCAAGTCAGCAAGACGACGAGTGACCGAAGCCGACACGAAAAGAAAAAAAAAGGATGTGAGAGGGAAAGAAAGACTTACGTCGTTCACCGTGACAGTCTTGGCGCTTCTGTAATCGACATATGCCACGCAGATTCTGAGCAGCTGCATTCGCACGCAATCGTCAGCAACTTTGCCGTATGTGACATGTGACATGTACATATCTCGAGACGGATGAGGAGGAGCATGGCGGCGAACCTCTTCTAGTCGGGCCTTGAGAGCCGCCCGCACGTCTCCGTATATCGCACCAGAGATACGCTTGACACCACCACGACGAGCAAGACGACTAGCACACCACTTCTCGTCAGCGCTCCACACTTGTGAAGGCGATCTGGAGAGTACCGTTCCAACTTACCGAATCGCAGGCTTAGCTGTGAGCGGAGAAGAACAATCACAACGTGTCAGCTGTGACCGGTGAAGGGGGGGGGGGGGGTGTGTGAGGGGAAAAAGGTCAAGATGTGTGGATGTGATATATACTGATTCCTTGAATAGAGTCCTTCACAATCTTTCTATCATACCCCATCCAGGGAGGAGACGTCAGTCATGTATACAGGACACTACGAAGAAAAAAGGCCATCTTCGTAGCCGAGAGAAGGGGTGGGATGGTGTACCGATGTCTGCTGGGCCTCGCGATTGTCTTGCCAGAGAGTACTTTCCCACCAGTGCGCTGGGTCCCGGGCCCTCCACGTCTTGGGATCGTAGGCGGCATCGGGGGTGTTTTCTTCTTCTTCTTCTTCTTTGTCGTCCACGGGAAAGATGAGTTATACTTGAGTAGGTGACTGAATGTATGTCGCCAGATAACGCAGAGAAATGCGAAAAGGTTTAGAGAGAGGGTGAGAGGGTGAAACGAGCTGGGTTATGATGCTGATTGTATTGGAAGCGATAGGTGAAGTGAGCTGAGCCCAAACCGTTCATGGACCTGCAATCGCGCGGACACGTGATTGATTACATACATGTACGGATGAGATCTGGCGGATCACAGACAGTTGACAAACACCTGCTTCTCCAATCTACAAGCGTCAACTCACCCACCCCATGGCCACTCTCTTAGTGGCATTCTTCTCTTTTATTTTATTTTATTTTATTCTTTGTCTTGTTCTTTTTTACAGTTGGCTTCAGAATAGACAGGGTGCATAAAATTTTCTCATGCAGTTGGTTGCAAGACACATGCGGACTTACTCATCCGTTCACTGACCTGCACAGGTTGGAAACCTACTGGTTCATCATAGTGACTGATAGGTAGAGGCCTGCTTTGACTTTTGTATATACAAATCGACTTCTCCAAATGTCAAGGACAGGTCTGAAACGCCAAGGCCTTGGTGACAGTGCAATATTATAGAGAGAAAGAGAAGAAAAAGAAGAAGAAAAAGAAAGAGAAAATCGCCCATGCAGGATTCCATCCACTCTTGAAACATGTGCATCATTTCAATAATCCGTTTTTGACCAGTGAAGATTTTTCCCGTCTACCAAATGTGTTCCCTCCAAGCGTGTCAACGAAACGAATGTAAAAGAAAAGTATGATGAGATGAGAGGAAAAAAAAGAAGAAGAAGAATCCCGAATATATAGACAAGAAACAAATGATGGGGTGGAAATGAAAAGACACCCCCTAGGCGCCAGGATCCGACCCTTGTGGTATTTGTGGAGGAAGTTGAAAAAGAAGCAAGCGGGGAAAAAAAAAAAGAATAAACTCCGTGTTGTTGCAGACAAAGGACAGCAGTTCATAAAAGGGCGAAAGAGTCAGCCCCCTATAGACTAAGCCGTCTCTATAGCTTCCATCTTGGTATTTCTTTCGGGATTCTCCTCTTCCACGGGTGATTGCGACGTCGTCGTCTGGGGCTCTTCGTCTTCCACGTCATGCACGCGTGCCCTCTTGGCTGACCGACCCGGCTCGTCCTCGACCGGTGTTGCAGCGGTGGCAGCGGCGGCGGCGGCGGCGGCGGCGGCGGCCACGGCGACCGCATTGGCCTCCTTCACATCCTTGAGCTCGACCTCTAGCTCGTCAAGCCTCCGCTTGAGACTGTTCTCCCTGCGGTGCGAGTCGCTCAGCTGTGCGTCCAACTGCTTCTCCTTGATCTGGCTGGCGTCGAGCTGGGAGCGCAGCTGCGTCTGCTCCACCGACGCCATCTCGCTACCGTGGCGGGCGGCCGCCTCCTGCTGCTCGAGCTGGGCGAGCCGACCCCTGAACAGCTCGTTGATGAGCTCGAGCTCGCGCACCCGTGTCTTGAGGCTGGAGTTGGCGGCGATGAGCTGCTCGTGTGTCTGCGGGCTGTCTCCGTTCATCGGGGACCCGGACCCGTCACCGTTAGCCCCGCCGTACCCCCCCACCGCCGATGAGTAGGGGTCGTCCATCATGAAGGCCGGCAGTGGGTGGGTGTACATGGATGGTGTCCCCGTGCGGGAAACGGGCGAGTCGTGCGGTCCATCTGGGTTGCCACCGGAATGCTTACGCATAGTCTGGTTGTTTTGCGATGCAGCTGCGTTCTGTTGATGCCGTTATCCGCATTAGTGACGTCGGCCATCTTATCAGATAGGAAGTAGCGTGAAGCGTCGCAACGACAGTTCTTGGCGCACAGCATCGAGACGGTGAAGAGGAGATGAAGAAGAAAAAAAGGACAACATACCTTCTTCTTCGTCATCATGTCAGGGCGCATCGTTTTTACACGGTTGCGACTCTTGATAACGTCGGTCTTCAGCGATATGGGACGCGGACGGCCGTGCAGCTTGAGAAACAGGCCGCAGGCATTGCACAGCACCGAGCCGTACTCGTCGCGTCGCCATAGTGGTGTAGTCGAGGTACTACAATTCTGGCAGGTGGGCTGCGGAGAGGGGTTAGAGGCCATCATGACGCCTGTTTCGTTTGCATCTTCATGGAAAGGGAGGGAGAGATGACAATGGGAAAGACGGAGACAGAAGAAGGGGAGGGGGTTGGAGGTGCATGCTGTCGCAGCGGATCGGCATCCATGATTGTAAGTACTACTCCGGAGTACTCTCGGCAGATAGAGATGGAGCAGATAAAGCAAGTATAGAGTAACTCCGTATATCGAGATGCTGATAAGAGATTTGGCTGAAAGGAAAACATTTGCCTCATCTGACGAATTGGTTGATAAGAGAGATAGCAGGATGCAGATGATTAGGTTGAATCGCGGGAAAAATTGGGGGGCAAGTGGATTGATCCGTAATATAGACACGTGATTCGATGGGAAGGCAGCGATAAGACCCTTCATCATCTGTTGACCAGACCCCCCCAAGTATCGGGGGATAAATAGGAAGGAGAATGTAAAGGGATGCGATGGAAAAAAAATGAATAAAAAAAGGTATAGTAAGACAGTAGGGAAAAGAAAAAGAGAACAGTAGACGTACCAGACCATTTCCATTTCCTCCAGCCGTAGCAGCAGGCGTAGCACCGCTGTAAGTATGTGTCGGCGGCTGCGACATTGCATGCTGGGGTTCGAGTGGCGGCGCGTGGTTGTTTATCGTCGTCGCAGTATCATTATCAGCAGCGGGTCGGTCTCTGCTATCGCCGCCGCCGTCGGTCGTCGACTCGATGGCAACTGCAGAGGCGGCGGCAGCTACGGCCACGGCAGCCGACTGGCTGCCAGCATACCTCTGTTCTTGCGAGGTAGCATCATCTGCGCTGCTACCGATGCCATTGTTGTCGTTTTCCTCTCCGTTGTTGTTGCTGCTGCTGCTGCCGTTGTTGTTGTTGTTGTTGTTGTTGTTGTTGTTGTTGTTGTTGTTGTCGTCGTCGCCGCCGATATTCTCGCCCGTCATGCCCAGCAATTGGGATACGGCCGCCTCTGCAGCGGATGTAGAGTTTGCGCGCGAGATGTCATTGCCAGACTGCTGCTGCTGCGGCGGCGGGACATCTTGAGATCCTTCAAGAGCTGGCGAAGCCATCGTGTGTGCGCGTCGTAATTTTCGAGTTGTCGATTTGCGCGGATGCGACCAAGAGAGATGGGATGGATGATAGATGGGCGGCCCCTATCGATAGGATAACGCGCTTGACAATGCGGGTAGGTGGTAGATCAGAGTCGCGTGGCTTAGCCTTGCGCCGCACTTGGGAAGAATATCGATGAAATGAGAAGAAAAAAAAAGTTTTGACGTGATGTCGAATTTTGTCTCTTCCCCTTTGCTGTACGGTTGGTGATGAGAGAGGGGAAAAGGTTTGAAATGAAAGTGTGTGGTATAGTTGAAAGAGAGGGAGAGAGGGAAGACTGCGAGAGATGCGTGCGACACGTTTTGCTGGCGCCAATACGCACAAGGCCTCCCCCCCCCCCCCTCATCCCCCATGCAGCAGCACTGGGTTAGAGTGCGACAGGATAGTGATGGCAAAGTAAAAGAAAGAGAGAGAGAGAAAAAACCTGGGAAATAACGTTAAAGTTTTACGATTTTTTTATGAATTATGAGCTAGAAGTGAGTTAGAAGGGGAGAGTAGTAATTGCTCTCCCTCTTCCTGCCTCAAGAGTTGCTATATATATATATATATATATATATATATATATATATATACAGAAGCCGCTGATTACGGCTTTCTCGCGGCTATACGCTATTATCATCATCATTACATGCGCTTATTGACCTGGCCACTGATATGGTAGGCGTCTGTGTCGCGGGCAAGTTGGGGCGGTCAAGGGGCCCTCTGCGCCGGTGGATGGTGCGCTGTATTATTACCTTTGCAGGTGGCAGGTCTCCTTACCGGGTCTTCACTAGCCACATTCACTACCATCACCGGCCACACAATTCTTCCCTAGCCACATCAGACTGGCGTCATTGATGAGGCGGCTCACTGTTGGCACAGTCAATGGCCACTGCCAGTCACTGGGTTAGCTCACTGGCGTCCAGTCAGCAGCTCCTCCACCGCCAAGTCTCCCAGCGGTGAAATGGTGGACGCTCCCGTGGCACCGCAGCAGCTAACGAGAAAGTCTCCCCATCTGTATCCTGCAAAAAACCCACCTTTCAACCTCCTTTTCCTGCTTCCACCTCTTCCAGTCTCTCTCTTCGTTATACTATCCATCTATCTCTTATCCTCTTTATCCATTTCCATCCTCTATCCAAGGCCTGTGCTGTCGTAACGTCTTTCCGCTTCATCTACTCCACCATGTTCAATTGGGCAAAGCAGCAGTAAGTCTCATTTTATCATGGATGGACCCCTTCCCCCCTCCCCCGCCCTTCCCTCCCCCCTTGCCCCTCCGGTGGCTTGTCGCAACATGCGAACCAGACAACACTCGGTCATCATGGCTAACAATCGTGAAAAAGGCTGGCCAACGTGGCTGGCACTCAGGAGCCCATCTACGGCCCTTCTGCCATCCGATCTGTCGCCGAAGAGACGGCCAAGAAGAGCCACACCGAGCTCACCCGCGATGACATCAAGTGGCAGGTCATGGACTCGACCAACGTCGAGACCCAGACCTTTTACATTTTCTCCAAGTCTGGCCGTATCGGCATGGCCCAGGTCATCTACAGCAATGTTGCGTATGTTATGCATTCACTTATACCCATAGCCGTGTACCCCTTGTTCGGCTGCTGCACATGCCGAGCGAGAGAAGAAAAACGGGGAAGATAAAGGCCTGACAGACTCCACCACAGTGGTATTCGAGTGACGGCTCAGTTCAACGTCAAGGTCTTCTCCACCGACGCATCCAAGGAGCACCTGTGGTGCTCTACCCCCCTCCAGAACATCGACTTCAGCGATGACAAGACGTGCTTTTACGCGACCGACTGCGCCCTGGAGCTGTCCGAGGACGGCACGACGTACACGATCAAGAGCATGAACGACGAGCGCGGTATCGTCAACCTCAAGGTGACGCGGACGGCCCCCGGCATCCACGCCGGCGAGACGGGCAAGACCTTGTATGGCACCGACCTCAACGACCCGTGGGGCTACATGCGCCACGCCTTCTGGCCCCGCTGCGTGGCCGAGGGCACCATCACGACCAAGGACGAGGGCGCCCTCGACTTTGCCGGCCAGGCCCTCTACGCCTACGCTATCCAGGGCATGAAGCCCCACCACGCTGCCGCCCGCTGGAACTTCCTCGACTTCCAGGGCCCCAACTACTCGGCCGTCATGATGGAATTCACCACCCCTCCCTCGTACGGCGCCACGCTGGTCAACGTCGGCGCCGTTCTCAAGGATGGCAAGGTCGTCACTGCCGGCTCCGCCAACAAGGTTACCCACACTAGCGCCAAGAAGGACGAGGAGAGCGAATGGCCCGAGCCCACCAGCGTCCGGTATGTCTGGAGCGGCAAGGACGCCGATGGCAACGATGTCGAGGCTGTCCTCGAGGATAGCCTTGGCCCCAGGATCGACCGTGTCGATGTCATGGCCGAGGTCCCCGGCTTCGTCAAGAAGATTGTTGCCGGTGCTGCCGGTACCAAGCCCTACATCTACCAGGTATGTCTCTCCGTGTGCCCAACTCACCAAGACGAAGCACCACGTAGCTAACACGCCCCTCCAGTATACCCCCAAGACAACCTTGAAGGTCAAGGTGGGCGACAATGAAGAGTCCGACGAGGGTCAGGTCTTTACCGAAGCCACCTTCATCTCGGAGACTGAATAGAGAAAGACATCCTGAAGACTGAAAGACGGAAAGACTAGAGGGTTATTGCTAAACCATTTATACAGCAACGACAATCCCCTCCCCCTGTCCCCAATACGTATTGCATCGCATGATCTATCTCTTTTGGACGAGATAATATGGCGTTGGAAACAACTTTTTTTTTCCCCTCTATTTTTATATGCTGTTTGCTACGCGGTGACTTTTGGCTGGTTACGAGCACTACAGGTAGTCTAGACCTCGAAATAATATCCTCTCCATGTCTCTGTACCAACGTAGCATTGTCCTCCGCTTTATCATTTGTCGGCTCTTTCATCTTATTCGTGATATGAGGCCAAGAGTTTCCCTCCCAATTTGTCGACTGAGCTTCATTTCCTCTCAGACCTGAGACATGACAGACATTCCACGACGCAGAAGAGAGCTGCCCCATGCTGCTACAGAGAAAGAAGGAAAAGAAAGAAAAAAAGGTGACCGACAATGGAAATGGGAGCATGATGAGATTATTGCAACAAGGCTTGGCAATTGTTCTAGAATCCAGATATCACGCATACGGTCCCTACTCGTACCTGAGGACTAACTACTATTACTAGTATCATTCCACTGAGACATCATCATTGCTAAATAAAGACCAACCCCCCCCCCTTTGGGATCAGTATCAGCCCCCCCCCCCACGAGACATTACTGAAACCCCGGTTTTGCATCCTTCCAACAACGCGTCCAAACATTCCGATGCACCCATCTTAATTCTCCTGCCCACGATACGGAAACTGCGGATCATCTCTCAAAGGGAACCTTTTTAGCCCGCCTCCCCGTCCTTATTGCTCCCTTATCCCATTCCTCTTCCTATAACAAGGTCCTCCTCTCTCCGTAGACCGGACCAGACCGGACTAGAGCAAAGAGAAGAGAAGAGAAGAAAAGAAGAAAGAAAAAGGACCAATAATGTTGATGAACCCGCGCTCAGAGGAGGTTGGACGCAGTCAACAAGCAAGGTTCACATTAGCAGCGCACTACGGGCAGGGCACAACGATTGCCACCGCACACGTGAAGAATGGAGGAAATACTACAGCAACTCTCCCTCTCTTCCCTCACCATGTCCCTCTTCTCCCTGCTCATCATCCACACCGGCCTGTCCATCGTCCTGTCCGAGTTCAACAGGAGCGTCCGCGGGGCAGATCAGACAGACGCCTCCACCCTCACTACCACCGCTACCGAACTGCCACTATCAGCACATTACGGTGACATGGCTGTCCTGCCACGCCGTCACGAGGCGCACATCCCGCATGTGCCGTCGCCGCTCAACCCTTCGCCCACGCGACGGAGGCCGAGGCCGGGGAACTTGCTGCTCTGTCGCGGGAGCGGCCGCATACAGATGAGCCCCTCGGAGAAGCTGCTCAGACAAAAAGCCGCGTTGGCGTGGGCTTCCGAGACGACGTTTCGGCAGGAAGCGCTGTATCGGAGACGGGCTTTGGAGGATGCTGTTATTTCCAAGGTTTGTTCTCCTTCCTCTCCCCCCCTCGCCTCATTCTGTCGATGTGGTGCCTCGCTATAGAGGGGAATGAGTTACATGTGTGCATGTGCTTACAATGGTGCAGAGCCCTATGGATGTATTCTCGTTGAGAAGCCCGATACGAGCTACGTCAAGACGTGTAAAGGCGTGTTGATCATGATTATTCTACACTACCACGATATTGATTTGGAGTTTTACAGGGTTGGGAAAGCCGGATGCTCTTTTTTTTTTTTTGAGGGGGGGGGGGAGTTTATTATTTGTACATGTAATGTTGAATTCTATACCCTCGACTGGAATCGAGGGGGGATTACCGTCCTATCTATACAATGCTCTGAGTGGAATAAGTAAAGAAACCGAACCGTCAGTAAAGGTGAAACTGGCCCTCCTCTATAATTTGTCTACCCCTTTTGTCTTTTTTCTTCTCTTCTTCATGCGTGCTCCGTCGTTATACGTCCATTCCATCTGATATCATGCCTGCTTCCCATCTTTCTTCGTACCATTACCGGATTTTTCCTCCCCCGCCTTCTTTCCGGATCCTCCCTCGACTGTCTTCTCAACCTGCCATATAGCGCGCTCTAATTCTACCGAGAGGACCGGCATATCCAGGGTCTTGGAGAAGCTGGGAACGTCATCCTGCTTGAGGAGAACGGTCTCCGGCGCGTCGGGGGAATCGTCGTGCTGCGGGGGCTTCTCGGGGTATAGCCCGTCGAGCTGGGGACTGGGAGAGTCGATGAGGAGGTTGTTCTGGACAAGCCACTGGATGTGTTTGCCGCCTTGGATAGCGCGCCAGTGAGACCACGAGCGGTATACTAGGTAGAAGAAAGGGAGATTGGGTACTCTATTTTTTTTTTGAGAAAAAAAATTAGTGAAGTTAGCTTTCTTCTTCTTCTTTTGTTTGTTCTCCAGAGATGAGGAAAGAGAAGACTGACACTGGCAATATGCCGACGGGAATTGTAAACGGCATGGCGACGACACACCACATCAACCTCTTCCTATGCAGAGCCTCCCTCTCCGTAGCCAGCTTGAGCGCCAGCGGCCCAGCCTTAGTTGAGGGTATCACGCCTCCGGGGAACACGAGCTGCACCTTGTCCTGGCCCGTCGACTCGATTTGCCGACGATGCGACGACAGCGGCGGCACCGACTTGAGCCCCCACTCCTCGTACGGGATGCGGCGCAGCGCATGGTTGCCGTACTCGGTCACCTTGCGCTGCCAGCCGGATTCCTTGCTCTCCCACTGCGCCCACTTGCGCGCTGCGACTTCCACGGCTCGGTCGACATAGCCTGCAGTGCTGCTGGCCGCCGCCGCGGTACCGGGCTGCTGCTGGAGTCGCTGTGCGTATAGGAGCGTCCGTCGCGTCGATATAGGTAGGAGGTATAGGCGCATCATGATGGAAGGGGGGATCTCCTGTGACGATGAAAGAAGTGAACTTGGTCTTTTTTTTCCCCCGTGGAGGAAAAGGGAAGGAAAAGTCGAACCCTTATCCCTAGGAAAAAGTCAGGGGGAGGGGGAGGGGACGACACAGACTGCGAGGCAGGAAAAACGTGGGCTCTCGGCTGAGGGCGCGCTTTTATGATGATTTTTTCTCTCTTCCTCCTTTCTTTTCTTATTCCTCTATTCTCAGCCGTGTCATAGGTCGGTTTGGCTCGTTGTATGGTGGTGGCAAAGGAGAGGAGCCATGGTCTGAACCCGCTTCCATACCTTTGCGACTAGGCCTCCCTCCCTCCCCCCAACCAAAGCCTGGACGGTTAGCGTGACGAGACTGCCGGCCAAAAGAATGACGCATATACTGAGCGAAGCCTAACGGTGTGGTCCGTCGACGTCACATATTCCATGTGCTCTATTCACCAATTACAGATGCACTTCTTACAAGCAAGCAGTCTGTCACGTACCGTAACAAACCAGTCAAATTTTCTTATTATGTTTACAATCCGCCGATATTACTTGAGTGCATGGGAGAGGGGGGAAAAAGGTAACCCCTGCTGTCTCAAGTGTGGCTAAGCAGCTAGTGAAGCTCAACCACATCAGCCACGGCACAGCCACCTTGCTCAATGCCATGATCACATGCATTTCGAGGAATTGTTGGGTGCATCTCAGCCTGCTGTTGCGCTCTTCTTTCAGATGAAGGAGAACCGTGAAAGGAAGCGTCAGAACAAGGGCAAGGAAGTAACTTCTGCGTCTCTGAACGTCAGAATCTCCCATCGGTAGTCCTGTAATCTGCCTAGTGTCCATAAAAGTGGCCAATGTAGGACATGACGCATTGGCGTGCTGACTGTATTCTACGAGCCCACCGTTAATACCTGCGTGCCTCTCAGTGCTACTCGTGCAAGTGCTGTAACACGTAGCGTATAGGTAGTATCTATGCCTATGTTAGCAACGATTACATAAGGCACGATGGCCGAGTGGTCTAAGGCGCTGTGTTCAGGTGAAAACCACTCTCTGAATGGTTACACTTTCGCAGTCTCGAAAGGGGCCTGGGTTCGAGTCCCAGTCGTGTCAACAATATCTTTTTGCTTTCTTCTTACCACTCTTGTATCTTTTTACTGTTCTTTTTTGCTCCTCTCGTATTTTCCCATTGATATATATATATATTTTCCCCATCTGACAAGGGAACTCAACGTATCATGCTTACATGATTGACGTAGGAATGGTTCTATCCTTTCAACGCCATCTACGTCGTGATGACAATCTATCAAGTAGTATAATGATGCTAACAGTTCGAAGCAAACAGCACGCCCTTCGCACCAGGTTTCATTGGTGGTTATTGCATCATGACAACTCCGAGAACAACCGCCGCCACAAGGCTGCAAGGCCACATGGTCATCCCCGCTGCACGAGAACCACCGTCGTCGTCATCGTCAACAGCGGTGTAGTCGGCCGCAAACTCCACCTTCCCACCTGTGTAACCCTTGAGACTGGTGCTGTTGTCGCGAACTAGGGACCCCTCAAATGAGAGGCCGATGCTGACGGAGATGTTCCACGGCCTGATGCCCGAGCCAGAGGCGTCATCCGACTGCAGGGGGTAGAAGTCGGACAGCTCAAAGGGCGTGGCTTCTTCTGGGCTGCAGCCGGGCTTGCGCCGGTTGATCCAGGGGACGACCTCCTCGAGGGTCTGGTCGAGGGACCAGGTCATACTTGTGGCACCGATGTTGGTCATCTCAGCCGTGGCGCCCTCGGAGAGCCACAGCGTGGGCGTGACGGTATCGCCGTCGTCGACCCTGCGAGACTTGGCGACGTCCTGGTCGGACGCGCACACGTCGCTGAGGGTGACGAACTGGCTCGAGTACAGACCTGGGGACCAGCCGGCTGGCGCGCCGTCGTAATCATCCGCGTCCAGGACGGGGGGCTTCCGCGTGTACTGGGCTGTGGCGTTGAGGACGTCGTCGTCGTGGGAGGTGATGGCCGTCTTCCAGTACACGTCTGTCGCGCTTCCCAGGGCGGTGGCGTCGGCGTCGGCGTACTTGTCGATGTAGAAGGGCGTGAAGGGCGAGGGCCAGGCGCTCGTGTCCCTGTCGATGACGAAGTCGCTCGACCGGATGTACGTCGAGCGCTGGTGGAGGTCCAGGATGCCCTTGGCCGCTGTACTGTAGTTCTGCTGCGGCTGGAAGCCCCGCAGGACCCAGTGCATGGGGTTGGTGTCGGTCTCGTTGCCTGTCGGGGCGATGAGCATGAGGGCCGGGTACTCGTACGTCTCGGACGCCCTGTCGCCGCCGCACGCCGTGTTGCCCATAACCCGGTGCTGGACCTTGAGCGTGCCGTTGTAGTACAGCCCCGGCAGGCCGTACGCCTCCTGCCTGGCGTACCACCCGCATGGCGCGGCGCGGTTCGAGTCTCCCGTGTCACCGGGGTTCCACATGCTGTCTGCGGCACTGCTGCCGTCATCGTCGTTGTTGTCGTTGCCGTTGTCATCGTCATCATGGCTACTGCCCGGATTCGAGCCCTGTCTTCGGGCCTCGGAGAACCCTAGGGCGAGACACAAGGTTATCAGGAGTGGTGAAGAACGCATGGTGAATTTCTTGTATTATCAAAGATGAAAAAAAAGAAAAGAAAAGAAAAAAAGAAAAAAAAAAGTCGAATTGAATGATGAAAGATGAACAGAAAGCCTGCTACAGATTTCGAGCAAAGAACAACATCATGGAGAGAGCCAAAGAAGAAGCTTGGGGGTCAAGATGGACCTTACTTATCTAAACGGACTGGAGCGAGATGCTGACGGTCAAATTTGACGCCTCGTCGATCTTTGAATCCTTCGGCTCCATGTAAGCACCAGTCTGACATTTATGCGCCAGGTTTCAATGTCATAAAACGGGGGGTGGGGTTCCTTCTTGACCAACGATTCTTACGATGCAGGGAATCGAATCCGTCGATGACGATCTAACTCGTCCTATACAGGAAGAAGAAGATCGATGAGAAGCCTTCACAGCAACGGTCAAGGGGGAAATGGAATGTCATAGACATTGATATGTATTACATGTATTTATTACATGTAGATGGGGTCCAAAACTCGAGTAGACAAAAGTCGTATAAAGATGTAAGCTTAAACATGTATAGATTATTTGTGTACGTGTAACTTTGACCGCTGATCCGATCCCCCCCCCCCCATCAAGCCCACTTGTTATATATTGTAACATTCATAGTATCCATCCGTACTCTAGTCTCTTCCACACAACTTTCTCGGTAACATGTTGGATGGCTGCTGTGCCTTGTTGATGGACCCTGACAATTGACAGTCGCAATAACGTCGGCCTCTAAGCCACGTTCAACTGATTGAGCCTACAGCCACCGCCACTGCAACTAAAAGGGCAGTATAATATTAATACTATCAACCTTGAGGAATGCTATATAATATTATTATAATATTATTATACGGTAGATTATACGGTAGATTATACCGTAGGATATAAGCATACAAGGAGCGACGCCATTCATTATCGAGGTTACTGTGGAATGAAAGAAAAGACTGCCAGTCGAGGTCTCCCAATCCCTCTGGTCAGCGGCCCCATCAAACTTGTCGCCCCCATATCCCCCCCCTGTGACCCGGGTTCAAGGTCTGAAGCCTCAGTCAAGTAGAGTACCTTGGATCCCGTTACGTTGTTGATCTCACCATATTCTGTGCACAAGCCTGGCGCTGACTGCTGTCCACTTGTCGCCCCCGTAACATGCCCGAACTAGAGATGGATGTTGATTCCTCTCGTCCGAGTACTAGCATCACCGTATCACACCCGTGATTTGTCGACCCAGGATTGAAATGCTCATACAAGCAAAGAGTACGCGTGCTGAGCATGAGCTGAGATGGTTGTCCATGAGTGCTGCCGCATTCAGCCACTCTTCTTTCCTTTATATGTCACGGATCAGCTCCATACCGACGACCGAGCTGACCAAGCCACGGAAAACAGCGCATACCTTCCCATGACGATGCAGATCGAGATGAGTTCGGATGTGCCAGCTCTCACGACGGAACGTCTCAGCTATGAGCCTGTCCTCTCCAAGTTTCCGATGCTGAATCCTCTTTCCAGAACTGCACCCTGGACCGAATGATCCGGCTAGACCTTTGCTAGCGAGCTAGACCGCTCTCTCGTCTGTCTCTTCCCGTACAATCATGAAAATTGAACAGCTCCTCAACTTGAAGCCTCTACGACCTTCTACTAAAAGTCAGGCGAACCGGTCCCCCGTCTCCGGATTCGGGTCCAACGCCAGCTCGAGCGCAATGGTGCCCGTAGCGTCTCTCCGCGACAGGTATCGATATTCGGAGTCAATAGCCCGGGGGCACATCATCGCAAACCGTATTCGATTCTTTCTACTTCTTCTTCTCCTCTAGGTCTCGCCAACTCCCCCCGTGCTTATGTACTCCACTGTACGTGTAGTCTTCCTGGATCTCCTCTTTCCGTATCTTCCTTCCTTCCCTTCAACTGTAAGGAGGGCGTCACCAAGGGGAGGAGGAAGGAGAGGTCCCGGAGTATCCGTGACGGTGCCCCACCAACCGGAAACTCCGGCTGTGGGTGCATATCAACCCAGCTATCTCATCACTGCCAGACGTTACTGGGATGAGAATAATGGCGCTCAAGGCAAAAAGAGATGGGGGAAAAAAAGAAACCGATTAATCGGTTGACGGATCTCTCCCGCCGGGAATTGAACCCGGGTCTCGAGCGTGACAAGCTCGCATACTGACCACTATACTACGGAAGATGTTTGACTGTTGAGCAGCCAACGTAGTGAGGTTTGATTGATAGTCGTCTGTGATATGAGTGTTATAAAGGATAGCCCTCTGGTTATGCTTGTTGTGGTACACAACCCTATATTATGCATGGACCACAGTGGTATTCCATGGGAAATAGGTATGTTTCGTTTCAGACTTGCCTCAATATGTATCATTATCTACTGGATCAGTGTCTGGATGATATCTGCACGAGATGATGTGAAGCGAAGTCGTTCTCGGTAGCTCTCAATACAACGAATTGTTTGTACGAGTAGCTACATGCCCCACGGAAGAGTATTGTTCCGGAACCGGATGCGAGGGCTCAGAACACATCACAAAGCAAACGAGGAGATAACCTCACATTCATCTGTGAGGCTGAGGCCTAGCTAGCCAGGTATTGCAGAATACAGCATCTACACGTACGGATCAGATCGCATGCACCGTAAAGGCTCCTCATAATAGGAAGCTGATACACCGTTGTGGCCCGTTGCTATTCATGTTGAATCCAGGATACCCTACGGTGACATCGACAACAATACAGATTTGGAATTTAGGCAGCAACGCATACCCTACTCGGATGGAGAGGAAAACCACTAAAGTACATTTCTGATCATCAGACAAGACTGGGATCGGGCCTTGCGGTTGCTACCTTCAATCACGTATACTCAATTTTGGAGTGGAGTATAAGTAGATATTTTTTCAGGGTATTGTCTACCCTTGCCTAGTAGCAATTTGATGGGAGGAACCACGCGTAGTACGTGCAAGATTACCGACAAGATACCCATCTGTTCGGTTCCGAGGCCCGTCTTCTCAGCGAAAACGGCGGTTTCAGCGATGTGTTCCTGGGAACCGTACTTTTGTAAAGTGCTCCTCGGGAATAGCACCCGCCTCCTTGAGAGGCTCGCCTCGTGAAAGTGTGCGGTTGCTGTATAGCAGAGGCATCAGACCCTTTGATGGCAGGTACTTCTGCAGGTTCATGGCCATGCCGATGCCCAGAGATCCAAGGCCGAACTGGGATCAATCTCTGTTAGCAATGCGGAAGGATGCTGAAGGCGAACTTGGCTCATCATACCCAGCCAAGTGTTTCTGCGCTGCTACCCATGATGAATGGTGATGGACTCAAAAAGGATACTGGAATTTGACTGTAGAGCAGCCAGTGGTTGGAAAAAGCTGAAGCCTCTTGACGACCGGTACGGGTACTCCAAACATCCATTCAGGGATCGGCAAGGGTGCCTCTCTGATGCCTAGATCAACACACGCGATATGTAATACTGACCTCGAACGCGGGTCGAAGCAGGTGGAGCTCCACGGTATAAGCCCATGCGAAGAGGAGCACCGCAGGATGCACCGCAACCACATTGCTCTCCCCAAGGTGCGAGAGTTCGGAGAGCCATGACGATCGGGAAGCAATACTTGTGGATGAGATATATACATTCCATCCTCCCATCTTGCTGTTTCTCGACAGATCAACCTAGTCGACCGCTGTATGTCCTTCATCGTGGGCTCCATCCTAGGCGTCTCTACCTCCGATCATGAGTCCTGCGTCCCTGGCGGTCACAGATGTATAGGTTTGACCCTTCGCTGGAACGAGTGAATCTCGCTCAAGGAATTTAACAAAAGATGGAAACGGAAAGCTGTGTAGTCCGACTTCGGTTCGATCCACGATGGAGAAGATGAAGGACACCAACCACGAACATCTTGCGATCTTCGGCCTGCCCCGATTGAGTTCACTAGGTATCAAACTGGTGTATGGTGACGAGCCCGCCCCCCCCCCCCCCCCCCCCCCCCCCGGATATCGCAGAGATCAAGGTACACGCACGGTATGTATTCCCGGACGTGCATGGGACAGCCATAGTCCGGTATCTGCTCTATAAGTTGCCTGTCAAGCCCTATCGGGCGCGGGCGCACTGAGACTCGACCAAGACGGGGGACGCCTGGACCTTCCAGCCATTCTAGAAGGCTTGCTTCAAGCATCGACCGATTTCCATGTCGTGTTTTCCACGCAGGTGCTCGTATACCTAGCGGCCGGTATTCCAATCAGGAGGAGTGGCGTCAATTCGCGCTTGCCGTCAAGGTCATCGTGTCCGACTTCTTCTCGTACGGTACCGGTCGTGGTCGCAGGCCCCTAGGGTCCGTCAGCGTCTCTGCCCTGGCTGCGGACATTGTCGATCCTATCAGGGAGATGGTCGACCTGGAGAAGCAGCTGCAGAGGTCATACTACCAGACGCAACGGAACAGACAATGTCCAGTCGTCATCCACGGCGGTGGTGATGTGCCAGGTGAAGAGTGTCTGTATTAGAAGGGAACCCTGTAGGCGTCTAATGCAAAGCGATGCTGGATACTGGCTACCGGATAATGGTACACGTCGGGGTATAAAGACTAGACCCTCCTTAGAAGCCAGGGCATATGTAGTTGGCGAAAGGTGCCCAAAAGTGACAGACTGCTCAAAAGTGACAGACTGCTCTGTGACATTATCGTCTTCTTCTTCCTCTATGGCCATCAAGACGTCTCTCTCTCTCTCTCTCATCTTTTCTTTTCTTGAATCTCTATCTTACCATTATATAATATGATAGCTACATGGATCCCCCTTCCCTTTCCAGAAACAATATCAACCACACTCCCCCATCACTCCTCAAAAGCAGTGATACTAGCAGAGCAGCGTTTAGCCAGCATGGCGCCCTCATAGCGGAGGATATCAAAATCGGCCCACTTGTCAATGACCGACTTCCTGGGGAAGCTGACGGATCCCTGGCCGATCCAGACCTCTGGCGACTCCATGTTCATATCGACCGATACGAACTGACGGATAGACGGCGGGTTTCCCGGAATAGGCGAAGGGATGACGCGCAGGTTGAGAGTCCGCTTCTCCACAGGAGGCAGACCAGGCAGGACCTTCTCCGGGATGAAATCGAAGTCGATGACGCGACGTCCAGCAGGACGGTCGGCGAACCCGGTGATGAGGCGACTTCCCGTGTTCGGGTCGAGTCCGACCTTGCCGAAGACCTTGGGGTACCCGTAGACTTCGCGACCGGCGAAGATGGCAGCTTCGTTGTCGAGGACCAGGATGAGGGTGTAGTCGAACTTGCGTCCGTTGTAGGTGGCCTCGACCGTCTGGACGAACTCGGTGTAGATGCCGACGGTGCTCATGCCGTAGTCGACAAAGGTGGACGTCACGAGGGGCTCGTCCTCGAGCTCCAGCTCGGGGGGCACCAGGGGGGCAACCTGCGCCGCCGGCACGCGGTACGACACAGCTGCCAGAGTCACATCTTTGAAGACAAAGGTCTCGGATGTTGGGTATGATGGGAATAGCGTCGGGGCCGCGATGGCGTTGATGTCTAGTGTTCCCACGGGCATGATGGGCAGAGGAGGTCGATGTCTTGACCTTTTTTTTTAAAAAAGTTTTTTTGAAGTTTTTTTTCGAGTAATAGTTCGAGTGCCTTGTCTGAATGGTTATATATAAAAGGATCCATAGCTGGGTTACACTTGACTCTTTTATATATATATAAATATACTATATACAGTTTCAGTTCACCAGTCGACGATGTCATCGTGTCAGGAGAGGATTCGGTTGTTAGTGCCATGCAACCGACGTAAGCGGCAGCGCCGAGCTAAAAGGTAATACGAGTAACGACGCATCATTGCTAGCACCGGTGTCGGAGTTGATGTATTTGCCGTCAACTTACCCACTTCACCCCTTCGCATTCGTTCCTCCACACACACTTGACAATATACGTCCATCCCCGAAACCAGGGTAATAACGATCCCCAGAATGCAGACGCACGGCAAATCGACAAGCAAGACCTCTCAACAGCGTCGCCAGCAGAATGTCACGGCCCAGCGCAATTACCGTGCGTACCCCCCCCCCCCCCAATCGAAAAAAAAAAATTCAATCCATCACATCTTCCCCGTCCATGATCTAGGCTGATATTCAAGGGGGAGGGGAGGGGAGGCGGAAACGAACAGGTTCCCGACAGAAGGAGAAGAGGCAGCGGTTCGAACAACTCGTGGTGAATGCAGTCCTGTCCCAGAAGTCACAACCTCTGCCGCTCATGGTGGAGAACGAGGTCCGTCCGTATTACTCGACACGTGCCACATTCACCAGCACCGTGTCCGACACCCTGTCCACCTTCTTGACCTTTACCGAGAGGGAGCGCATGACGTGCTGGCAGATCATGGCGAGCGAGAGCTTCGGTCTCAGAGACGTGGTCAAGTACGGAGTCATCCACCAAGGCCAGTTCATGAGCCCCGAGGCGTACCAGCTGGCCACGGTTCTTCCCCTGCGCCAGTGGCTCGGCATCCTGCACCGCGAGGTTGGCGAGGTGGTCGATATAAGTCGCGTCCTCACCTCGGGGGTTCGCCTCCTCGCGGGGATGAGCATGCCCGCTGGTGACGTTACTAGGAAAGGCGAGATCCAGCACCAGCACCAGCACCAGCACCAGCACCGGCACCGGCATCAGCAGCGACGACAGCGTACCCACCTCTCCGCCATGTCGTTCACGTCAGCTGTGGGTGCAAACGCCATGTTTCTCGGCATGCCGGCGCACAATCTACTTGACATGTCCCTCCTGTCACCCTTTGGGCGGAGCAGCAGCAGCAGCAGCAGCGGTGGCAGTAGCGGCAGAGATGTCGAGTACCGTCCCTTGGACTCGTCATGGGCAGACTTGCGCCCTACCGCCATCCAGCAGACCGTCACCCACCACCCCCTATTCGACTTGCTCCCCTGGCCCGAGTTTCGGAACGCCGTCATCACGGCCCTCTACTCGAACCCGCCCCACGTCGATGCTGATGACCTGATACTCGATCTCTGGCATGACGGGATCCGCTGTTGGCGCTTCGCGGATCCCGACCCTGCGACGACAGATCCGTCTGCTTCCGCCAGCTCGGTCCAGAATGGCCTGCCGTGGCACTCGCAGAGCTGGGAGGCTGCGCCCTGGTTCCTGGCCAAATGGGCTATGCTAATCGGGGGTCCGGGGAGTGAGATGTCCAGAACGAGTGCTTGGTGGCGATGTATGACACAAGGCATGTGATGAAATGACTCGAATTGCCGATCTTGTTTTGCGCCCCCCCTCCCCCTCCCGGGCCTCTTCCTCCTCTTTCTGTGTTTCTGTCTCTTCGATATAGCTTCAGCTTGTATTATGCACCTGGTTAAATTTTGGACCATACTATCCTATGATGATAACTTTTACCTGTCTCAACGCCAATCCATCATCGATATGTGAGAATCGCTTTCCCGTACTATTCCATGTTACTCTGTGCTCCATAATTCTCCATAATACTCCATACTCCATCATCACCCCCCCGCTGCAACTAGTTGTAAGCTAATGCTCATAACGTCAGCTGCATATGATATCCACCCTCCCCGAAGTGGAAGAACGAAGAAAGAAGCAATTTGTTCTTGTTGTCGTCGTTGTTGCTGCTGCTGCTGTTGTTTATGTGTATAATGTATGAAGAGATATTTTATAAATAACAACCTCAAACAACGGTAATTCAATGTGATGATAACACCACAAAAAAACTGCCTATTCCATCCCTCAACAATGCAAGCATTCCGCTTCACCGACGTCGAAACGGGTCTCTCCCGCGATACCATCCCCATCCCCACCCCGGGCCCGGGTCAAGTCCTCCTGTCGGTCAAGGCCGTCGGTCTATGCCACTCGGATGCCAACCTCGTTCACGGCGTGGGATTCCAATGGCTCCGGGCACCGCGTCCCATGACCCTCGGCCACGAGGTGGCGGGCGAGATCGTCCGGCACGGGCCGCCTTCCTCCGAACAGCAACGCGCATGGGCGAATGAGTTCCCGCCGGGAACCCGCGTGGCGGTGGCCATGGTGTCTCACCCCATCGAAACATGCAACTGGGACACGGCCATGGGCATAGGTTCCCCGGGCGGGTACGCCGAGTACACCATCGCGTACGGAGAGCACCTGGTGCGGATCCCGCAGGGGGTGAGCTACGCCCAGGCGGCCGTGGCGACCGACTCCATCTCGACGGCCTACCACGCCACCCTGGTCACCGGCGCCGTCCGCTCCGGCATGACGGTCGGCATCATCGGCATCGGCGGCCTGGGCATGAACGCCGCCGCCGTGGCCGCGCTGGAGGGCGCCCGCGTCTACGCCGCCGACACCAACGCCGCCAAGTTCGACGCCGCCCGCCGCGTCGGCGTCGTCGACTGCGCCGCCAGCCTGGCCGAACTCCTCGAGAGGAAGCAGGGCAAGTTCGACGTCGTCATCGACTTTGTCGGTATCGCTGCCACCGTGCAGTCGGCCATCACGGCCGTGCGCGACGGAGGCACCGTCGTCCTCGTCGGTCTGGGCGCCACGACGGTCGAACTTCCCGTGGCGCAAATCATCAGCAGCAGCATCAACGTTGCCGGGTCTATCGGCGCGTCCATGCAGGACCTGGTCAATGTCCTCGACCTCATACAGAGAGGCGACATCAAGCCCGACATCTCCGAGATACCCTTTGCCGACATCCCCAGGGGACTGGATGACCTGGGCAAGGGAACCGTTCAAAACCGTCTGTTTGCCTGTCCTACATAGCATCGCACGATACAATGGATGATCAGGACGAAATGAAACAGAACAAGATGATATCTGACTCCCTTGATTCGCATCGCAATATTTCCCCTGACGTGCTCAATCCTGGTACCTTCTTTTATATGCATATGCAAATATCTTCATATGCATATATCCGGCAGCAGTGAATAAGGCGGGGTCACCGTTGACTTGCTCCGTCGTAGCGTAGTTATCTCATCCATCAACCACCACGCAGCAAATAAGCACTTGCACAATGACACATGAAGAGAGCGGCTATGACCCGACAGATCTTGGACGACCTCAATCAAGGCCGGTACCGTCTTCTCAAGCTCGGCCGAGGTTGGCTTGAGGAAATGTACTTTGACGAACGCAAAGGAAGACCAAGTTGGGCATGGAGGACGTTCATGAACAAGAAGTAGACATGCCGTAGATATCCGAATAAGGTCTCGGATGAGCAGAAACGCAGAAAGGAAAAAAAGAGGAGGGGAAAAGAAGAAAGAGAAATATCAGAACTTGTACCAATAATGTATTCACCGTTCACCGTCCTTTCGGATGGCCTTGCACGAGAAAAAAAAAAAAAAAAAAAGAAAACTATTACTACAGTGGGACGGGGATGTGTCATACCCAGAACATGATTGGCCCAGCTCGTCACTAGGCGTTTTCAAGATGCAAAGCTTCCAACTCCACGTGAAAGAACACCATGGCAAACAAAGAAGTTGGATAACGTCTACATATACCAGAACCATGTCACGCCCGATTATCCCCTAAACAAACACCCCTCCCCCCAAGGGAGTGTCTACCGAATCAATACACCACAAGTATCCTCCTCACGAGCCGTCTCTGCTCGTAGGATACTGTTCCGAACTCAGACCTGGACCTTGGTAGTGATTGCTTCAGCGAGGATGATTCTTGACAAGCAACCTTCCAGCATGTCACTGGAAAAGACGCACGACATGAAATCTGCTCTGCCTCACGCAGTCCCGTCCGGCCAGGATGCCGAGGCTGCGATCGGCAACACGGGCACCGAGGAGAAACCGTCCGCCTTCAGAGGTCTCGGCCTTCTGGATCGTTTCCTCGCTCTGTGGATTTTCCTCGCAATGGCTATTGGCATCATCTTGGGTAACTTCGTTTCCGATATTGGACCTGCCTTGCAAAAGGGCAAATTTGTCGGTGTGTCGGTGCCTATCGGTATGTCCCTCCCCCAACCTTTCCGCCGGATTCTGTCCGGTTTTTTTTCCCCCAACTATGGATGCTTGTTGAAGAGGAAAAAAAAGAAAGAGAAAGAAAAGAAAAGAAGAACAAGACAAGAACTGACATTGGGGATTAGCTGTCGGTCTGCTCGTCATGATGTATCCGATCCTTTGCAAGGTGCGATTCGAGTCGCTGCACGAGCTCTTTTCCCACAGAGAGATGTGGAGGCAGCTCTGTTTCAGCGTCTTTGTCAATTGGATCCTCGCTCCTTTCCTGATGGTCGGTATCCCCGCGTTCCGGCCGCCAATCTCTCTCCGCTAACGGGTCTCGTAGCTTGCCCTTGCCTGGGCCTTCCTCCCCGACAAGTCGGAGCTTCGCACCGGTCTTGTACTGGTCGGGCTAGGGAGATGCATTGCAATGGTTTGTCCTTCCCCGTCTAACCCGGGCATGTACGAGCGGCACTGATGACGTCGTCCCTTTCTAGGTCCTGATCTGGAACGGCCTTGCTGGCGGCAACGACGAATACTGTGCCATACTCGTCGCTGTCAACTCGATACTCCAGATGGTCCTCTTCGCCCCCTTGGCCGTCTTCTTCATCCGCGTCATCGGCCAGGAGTCGGGTACGATCGATATATCCTACAGCGTCGTCGCTACCAGTGTGGCTGCCTTCCTGGGTATCCCCTTTGGGGCAGCCGTCATCACGCGAATTGTCCTTCGCAGGGTCGCCGGGGCGGAATGGTACCAGCAGACCTTCATCAAGTTCCTTGCGCCCTGGTCCCTCGTTGGCCTGCTCTATACGATCCTGGTCCTTTTCGCATCCCAAGGCCGGCAGGTCGTTCATCAGGTCGTATCTGTCGTCCGGGTAGCTGCACCGCTGATCGTGTATTTCGTCGTCGTCTTCTTCGTCACGTTGTGGATCAGCAGACTCCTCGGCTTCCGGTTCCCCATGGCGCTTACGCAGAGCTTTACCGCTGCGAGTAACAATTTTGAGTTGGCTATCGCTGTGGCGGTGGCCACCTTCGGCCCCAACAGTGATCAGGCATTGGCCTCCACCGTTGGCCCGCTCATCGAGGTGCCGGTTTTGGTGGGTTTGGTGTATGCTGTTCGTTACATGGCCAGGATAAGGGGTTGGTGAAGGGGCGAGCCGAGCATCCGTAGGCAGCGCAGCTTCTGGAGTCAAGTAGAGATATATCCGTTGGTATAGATAGGTAACCGAAGTTGTTGATGTATCGTGGTAGCTTGACTCACGCGGCCCTCTTGGAATGGACCCTGAAGATCGATCAGTATGAACGAATATGCGCTGTCCCCGAGAACGACGATGATGACGATCCGTTCGCTAGGGATTCGTCTACTATCCCAGCAGCTCCGCATCCCGTCGCCTTGCGACTATTCAAGGTGGTCCATGAGCTCAAAGATCTTGGTGTTCTTGACCGAGCAGCTGCTATCTCCATGGCACCCGAGCGCCGAACGAGCCCGGGACGGATCGACATAGTTGTGAAGTTCGACGAGTATCTTTGCCGCTTTGTCGCACGATGTTCTCAGCGATTCCGAATGGTCACCGTCGTCGGTGACGGAACTTGACGAGACGAGAGAGTCGGACAGCGCCGAGAGCACGTCAATCGGGACTGGAGTGTTACCCTTAGTTGTGCTGCCAAGCCCGTTTGCCGCATGAGATCTGCGGTGCAATCTCTGTGCCTCTTCTGGAAGCACGCATGTCTCTTCATGTTCTTTTCGGGACATTGCCGTCGATCGAAACGGCGATTCGGCATATGGTGACTGCTTCCGAATAGGTGTCGGCTTGGCTAAAGTCAACAAGCCCGATCCCAGCGTCGGCACTGCGTCCCTGGCCGTGCTCGGTGCAGACCTATAGGAGCTCTGGGGCCGGCCTTCCATCGGCACGGTCATCGTTTGCGTGATCCTAGGCAGTAAGCGTCCACATGTGGTGCATTCACGGCGACGATTCAGTTCCACGCAGCCTTCCTCGCCGGAGGACAGATACTGTTCAATCTCATCCTCCGGGACCCCGTACACGCCAAGCAAGCTCTTCAGTCGCTGGTTCTGTATGTTGACGGCCTGAGCAGCGCGTTGCATTTCTATCGCGCTTGCCACGCCTATCCGCTCGTACTCTTCCAATCGTCTCCGCAGGTCGGCAATCAGATCTCGTCGTCGGGCTCTGGACCTTCGCTGAGCTTCGCGGTTTTCTGCAACTGAGGCGGCGGTCTTGGTCTGCGACATGGTTAGTAACGATTGTGCCTGTTTGACTGGTGCAGCATACTTTGCGCGGCATGTTGCCCTGGGCAAGCCGAGGCTTGGGGGTGCCGATTCGTATGTGTCTCAGGGAAATCGGAAGAATAATCGATGGGCTGACAAAGCTGTGACGTCGACTCTGGGTGTGACGATGCAGGTGCCAAGTTGCTTTGCTTTGGCGAGGCTTCAATCGAATACCTAGTGGCTCAGATTTGTCAGCTCATTCGTAACCCTAAGCACTGACCGTTCATATTTTTGCTGATCGACGTCGTGGTTCAGATCGTGCACCTTGTTCTTCACGTTCTCTCTAGACTTGTCTTGGCCGGAAAACCCAATTTAGATGACTTTTTCCCTCGTTTACATCGCATTCTCTCTTTTCATACCTATGGCTCATGAGGGGTTAGCAGACGCGGGAGAGGACGCATTGGCCTTATAATAGGGTCTGGTATGTACCCTAACCCACCTAACATACTTAACCCTGGGTTACCCTGACCCTAAACCCTTTGGGAATCAGCGGAGATGCATGTTGAGAACCGGAGCGGACAAAACTTGGAAAAATTGCGAGCTTCGCCATAACTATATCCCTATCCCTGTTCGCATACCAGCTGTCACCGATGGAAGAGTTCTTTTCGTAGTAGACAAGCTTGAGGTCTAGCGGGGGCTACTGTCAGCTTCGTGGGTGAGGTTCAGCCCACCCGCACCCGTGCCGACGCATAAAATGATGCGTAACCCTTTTACCGTCGGGTCATACATACTATACTGTCAAGCTATGATAATGATATCTCTCCACTCTCTCTTCACTCCACCAACCTCCACCTCCATATGCACCACATACACACACACATGCACATCGGTGGTGTGATACCTACGAGTACGTCCATGTAAGGCTCCACCGAGGGGGCCTTGGTCTTCCCCTTCCACTTCCGTGAGGGGGCGGCACGCACGCAATAGTCATGGCACATAGGTGATAACGATGACCCATCATCGATACGAATCATTCCTCACGGGGGAAGCAATCTCCCCTCTTACATTGTATCAGAAAATCATGAGCTCCGCTTCTGCTACAGCGTATACTCGTTGTCAATTGCTCCTGAGTTGTCAACGAGGGGGGAGGGGGGCGGTTACGGCAGTGAGCCGAGATTGTGGAGTTGGCGGTGCTCCCCTTTCGTGGGTGTCAGCTGCGGCGATAGGCAAATCCGTCTTTGCCATGATGGTGCGGACAAGAGTGTAGATATATACCGTCACGTAGAGACTCACTATTCTTTCGTTTCGCTTCTACTCTCGTCAGGTTTCAAGATTAGCTGAGCAAGACAACATCTCTTACCATGGTCGCCTCAACAACCCAACGCCCGGTGCGAATCTCGATAGGTCAGTCTCTCTCCTCCCCCTTTTGTTTTATCTGTGCATGCACTTTTCTTATCTTGCCCTTGACTAACATCGACCGTGACCCCCAAGATCGTGGAGGTACCTTTACCGACTGCATTGCCCGTGTAGATGGCCGCGAGGACATCATCATCAAGATCCTGTCCGTCGATCCCCGCAACTACCCCGATGCACCCACTGAGGCCATCCGCCAGGTCCTCGAACGATTCTACGGTCATGAGATTCCCCGTGGTACGCATCTCAACCTCGACCATGTTGGTACGTCTGTTCTGTTCTCCTCTCGCATAACGCGTTCTTGCCTAATAAAGAATACGCAAAAAAAAAAAAGAATGGATTCGCATGGGCACCACCGTAGCCACAAACGCGCTGCTAGAACGCAAGGGTGAGCGCACAGCCTTCTTGGTGACATCGGGATTCAAGGATGTCTTGCAGATCGGCAACCAGTCGCGCCCCTACATGTTCGACCTGGCTATCAGGAGGCCGGACCCTCTGTACTCGGAGGTATTCGAGGTGGACGAGCGCGTCGTGCTCGAGTCGTGCACCGACTCGGACCTGCGCACCCGGAAGCTCACGTCGCCGCCCGCGCTGGACGTGGTGACGGGTACATCTGGCGAGACAGTGCACGTCATCAAGCCGATCGACGTTGAGGGGACGCGGGCGTACCTGCAGAAGTTGCACGACGACGGCTTCCGCTCTGTGGCCGTGTGCCTGATGCACTCGTACATCTTCCCCGCGCATGAGATCGAGGTTGGCAGACTGGCCAGGGAAATTGGCTTCGACCAGATCACCCTGTCGCACAATGTGTCGCAGCGCCCCAAGCTCGTGCCGCGAGGCAACTCGGCCGTCGTGGACGGATACCTCACTCCGTCTATCGACCAGTACCTTCGCCAGTTCGCAGCCAGCTTTCCCTACCTAGACGAGCAGGGGGCAACACGCCTGGAGTTTATGCAATCGGACGGTGGTCTGGTTCCGGCCTCGGCCTTGAGGGGTCTGCATTCCATCCTGTCCGGTCCTGCAGGCGGAGTCGTCGGTTACTCGCAGACTTGCTACGACCAGGCATCCAAGACGCCCGTCATCGGATTCGACATGGGCGGTACCAGCACCGACGTCAGCCGCTTCGACGGTCAGCTGGATCACATCTTCGAAACGACCACGGCGGGCATCAGTATCCACGTTCCTCAACTCAATGTCAACACGATTGCTGCCGGAGGCGGTAGTATTCTTGCTTGGCGCGACGGCCTTATGTCTGTCGGTCCCGAGAGCGCCTCATCGCATCCCGGTCCGGCTTGTTACCGGAAAGGAGGCCCTCTCACTGTCACCGATGCCAACCTGGCACTCGGACGACTTCTCCCGGAGCATTTCCCGTCTGTGTTTGGCCCCGACGAGGATCAACCCCTGGACAGTGAGATTGTCGTCACCAAGTTCAAGGACTTGACAGAGGTCATCAACCGTGAGAATAACCGGTCGCTGTCCTGGACCGAGGTTGCCGACGGGTGTGTTTCGTTCTCCTGCACCGATTCCAGCGAGGACATCTTCTGACAGCTGTATAATCTCAGGTTCCTGCAGGTTGCCAACTCGGCCATGTGCGGCCCCATCCGCAGTCTCACCGAGGCCCGCGGTCACAACACGGCCGACCACCACCTCGCTTCTTTCGGCGGCGCTGGAGGCCAGCACGCATGCGCCATAGCCGAGGCTCTGGGTATCCGCCGTGTGACCATCCACAAGTACTCGTCCATCCTCTCGGCCTACGGCATCGGCCTTGCCGATGTAGTTCACGAGGAGGAGCGGGCTTGTGCTAAGGCGTATAGCGGCGACAACGTAGCCACCGTCGATAGTGATCTGGAGGCTCTGAGTCAGGAGGCTCGGGACCATTCGTCAATGCAAGGATTCAACCATGTAGACACGCAGCGCTTCGTCAGCATGCGCTATGATGGTAGCGACACATCCATCATGGTATACCTCGACGACGGCGTCGATGCCAAGAAGAAGTTTGTAGACGCCCACCACCAACAATTCGGGTTCACGCCCGTCAACCGCGACATCTTCGTCGACACCATCCGGGTCCGCGCCGTCGCCAAGTCGCCTTCAGCAGAGGATCCCACCAAGAGCGCGAACCCGCCATCAGCAGCAGTCGAATCTGGTACTCTCCCCAAACCCACGTCGGTCAAGTCCGTGTACTTTAACATGGTTGAGTGGGTTGACACACCCGTCTACCTCTTTGACCAGATCCCTCGCGGGATCTCCGTCCAGGGTCCTGCCCTTATTGTTGATGAGACACAGACGCTTATTGTCAGCCCGTCCTCGTCGGCACGCATCATAGACGATAAGCTGATCATAGATGTGAGTCCACCGGCTAGCAAGAACGTCAGCTCCACTGTTCTGGATCCCGTGGCGCTGTCCGTCTTCCGTCATCGTTTCATGGGTGTCGCCGAGCAGATGGGTCGTGTCCTCCAGAACGTCAGTGTGAGCGCCAATATCAAGGAGCGGTTGGACTTCAGCTGTGCCATCTTCACACCGGAAGGCTCTCTGGTCGCCAATGCTCCCCACGTCCCTGCCATGATTGGAAGCATGGCTTTTGCCGTGAAGGGACAGATTGAGCACTGGTCTGGGAAGCTCAGAGATGGAGATGTCCTCCTGTCTAATTCGCCAGGTAATTGAAAAGAAAATCCCCATCGAGCTCGAGTCTTGCAACTACTAACCCGCAGTAGCCTTCGGAGGTACCCATCTTCCCGATCTGACTGTCGTCACTCCCGTCTTCGATACCAAGGGCAAGGAGATCATCTTCTGGGCAGCATCCCGCGGTCACCACGCAGACGTAGGTGGAATCCTCCCGGGTTCTATGCCGCCCAACTCGAAATTCCTGTCCGAGGAGGGTGCTGTCTTCGATTCATTCCTTCTCGTGCGGGACGGCGTCTTTGCGGAGAAGGAGCTCCGGCGTATCCTCTGTGAAGAACCTGCCAATCAGCCCGGATGCAGCGGTACCCGATGCTTCAACGACAATATGACAGACATCAAGGCACAAGTAGGAGCCAACCACACCGGTATCCGTCTAGTGCGCCAGTTGATCGAGGAGTACACCATGGAAGTGGTGCAGGTGTACATGCGCGCGATCCAAGACTCGGCTGAACTAGCGGTGCGCAACCTCTTTAAGAAGTTGGCACCCCGGTTTCAAGGTTCCGAGCTCTCGGCCATCGATTATATGGACGACGGGACACCGATCCAGCTCAAGGTGACCATCAAGGCCGAGGATGGATCGGCCTTGTTCGACTTCTCGGGGACCGGGGCTGAGGTGTACGGTAACTGGAATGCCCCTGTGGCCATCTGCAACTCGGCCGTCATCTACGCGCTGCGATGCATGGTCGACTCGGACATCCCCCTCAACCACGGCTGCATCAAGCCCATCACCATCCAGATCCCCGACCAGTCGCTCCTGAAGCCGAGTCACCAGGCGGCAGTATGCGCCGGCAACGTGCTCACGTCGCAGCGCATCGTCGACGTCATCTTCCGTGCCTTCCGCGCCTGCGCCGCCAGCCAGGGCTGCATGAACAACTTCACCTTTGGCTTCGACGGCGAGGACGGCTTCGGCTACTACGAGACCATCTCGGGCGGCAGTGGCGCCGGGCCTTCCTGGGTCGGCACCAGCGGCGTGCACACCAACATGACCAACACACGCATCACTGACCCGGAGTCCCTCGAGAGGCGGTATCCGGTCGTCCTTCGTCGCTTCTGCCTCCGTAGCGGGAGCGGTGGCGATGGCGCGCTGCGCGGTGGCGACGGTGTCGTTCGCGATGTTGAGTTCCGGATGCCCATGTCTGCATCCATCCTCTCCGAGCGCCGAAGCTTTGCCCCCTACGGCATGGCCGGTGGCTCAGAGGGTCAGCGTGGGCGTAACACGTGGGTGCAGATGTCGACGGGACGCAGGATCAACATCGGGGGCAAGAACTCCGTGGCTGTGGAAGCTGGTGACCGTGTTGTCATCGAGACGCCTGGAGGTGGAGGATACGGTGCAGCGGAAGATGGCAGGAAGGTTCCTGCTGACTTGTCAAAGACGCAGCCCTCGTTCATGGCCGTTGCTGGTGGGAGCGTGGGAGCTGCTAGGGATCTGGCAGAGCAGTCTTGATACTGGTCGATCTTGTTTCCAATCTGGAAAGAAAATGTGTCGAAATTTGCTCGCGTAAGAGAAAGGATTGCCGTGGTCGATATTCCTTCTCGCAACTCCGCTGGTATCAGTTGGTTGACTTACCATTCTACTCGCAAGGTGCCAACTCTGCATCGCTCTGTTGACTGAGGATTCACCCTGATGATGGAAGGCATATCTTCGCATTATCCCAGTGCTTTGTCATCACAACCCCCAGAGTAGTTCAATTCAAGTTTCTCATCCGGTCTGGTGGTCTAGTGGTATGATTCTCGCTTAGGGATAGCAACCCCAAGCACGCTTGCGAGAGGTCCCGGGTTCAATCCCCGGCCAGACCCTTCCTTTTTGTCGTTTTCCGGTTCCCTCTTTTGCTGTCGTGATATACGCACACTCCAGTGAGGGGCTGGAGAAATATTTGATCGTCTGGTACGTCACTTGCATAGTTGTACTCGAGTGTGTTGTCAAGCTACTGGTAGGTTTGTTGGAGATGGTGGTGGTTTGGGAAAGCAAACAAAAACATGTTGGTCATTACATCCCGCTGCAGTATACAAGGTAAGACGAAAAAGGTTGTAGAATAAAGAACCGATAAAACCTCAAGTTACAAAATCCTGATATCGTATACTCCTTGTCTATCTCGTCTTGACGCGTGATGAGACGGAACAGCTCGGCCACGCCACGCACAGCTAGACTCATGCTGTGTACGTTCTGACGGTCTACATCAAGCACTCTGGCACCGCACTTGACCTTGCAGGACAGGAAAGGGAAGGACGAGGAAGGCAACTTGTTACGTGAAGCGACTAGTAAGGGAGTCATCAAAGTGGCTCGATATAATTACCACGAGACAGTCCAGATACGCGGGAGGGATGACAATATGTCGAGCAACACTCGGCGTGGTCTGGATATCGGGAAAATTTCGAACTACCTCCCCCCGCGCCCAATGCCGCGGAACAAGATCCCCTCTAACGTGGAACGCCCATCTACAAGGTGAGCTCCCGATCGGCTCTCCTTGCAGCGCTGGAGGGTTGCATCGAAGGGCATGGATCCTTGCGCAGAGCTGGCTTCCTCCACAGAAACATCTCAATCCATCAACTCATGATGCACAAGGATAAAAAAATAACCCTCTCTGGCCTCCGTTCTTGATTGATTTCGACCTCTCCGCCAGAGAGCAACGAAAAATTGCCTCGGGAGTACAAGGCAAGACTGGCATAAGGGCGTTCATGTCGATCGGAGCGCTTCTGGGTCAGCAGCATCTCTTCATGAACGGTCTTGAATCGTCCTTCTGAGTGGTCTTCTGTATAGGCATCCACTGCGATGCGCAGGGCAAAGGCGTTGGGCCAACTGGGTGTGACGATTGGAACTACAGGAATGATGATAAGTTGGTTGCGGCCAAGAAGGGCGAGATTGTTGACGAGGAAGACTTTCTCAAGAAAGCAGACAGATACTTCACTGCACACTACCAGCCGTTGATTCCACGGGTCAATAGACTGTGGAGGGAGGCATTCCCGAATGGAGAGAGGTGGAAAAGGCTGGAGCCTGAGCTCGATTCTTTGATGATCAAGATCCTCCGTGACGCCCAGAAGGACCCAGAGGTGTTGGCGGACAGATAGCAGTATGAAAAATATCTGCCTATCCACAATCGGCTATAAGGATGACGATTGCCGTTGATCTCTATGCATCGAACTAGTGATGTCAAACCAGCACCGTTATGAGCAAGAGAAGCTGCACAAGCTACTCAGAATAGTGCACCATCTGTCAAGAAAATCGGCGGCTACGAACCCGAGATCCGCTTCGACGGGACCTCATGAATCAAGGAATGTTGTAGCAGAGGTCTCAAGTAGGAGGCCCCTTGTCGAGGCGTCGTGGAATGATTGATCTTGACGCTGTTGAAGCGGTCGTGATCACGAGAGAGATTGCACTGGGCAAGTTCCGACAGGCATGATTGACAAGTTTAGGGCAGGGCCGTCTGAGGACACTAGAGACGCTTCGTCCGCAGCCGCGAACGAGGGGATATGCGAGGGGGATAAGGGAATAGATGAGATGAAGGAGAACGTATAAGGGAGGGAAATTTGACGAGGCCGATTTGAGGTTAGGCTTGAGTCTTACAGAGGGGCGCCCAAACCCGGCGGGGAAGACTGCAACGCTTGAGGTGATGATACATGCAACAAAGGGTCAGTCTGCCCTGCGTCATATCAAGATCAGGATATCAAATCAACCACAAGCCACAGATGGCTGGGCATCTGTTAATACATGATACGGCCCCAGATCCCTACGACCCACCTTTTCCTCGTCGACATCAACCCCATGCCACTCCATCATGTGTCTCCCCAACCCCGTCTCAGTATACTTGATCTTGTAAGACGGCTCGACGCATGCCGCGTCCACGCATAGAGCGCAGTAGGCACCCCAATACGCACGACGCCCACGCTCGGTAAAGTACGGCGCAGAGATGACGCCCATGTACCTCCTGGGCTCCTTATCCTCCAGGTCCAACCTGTCCAGCCTCAGCGTATCGCCGTCGCCGCTCCTCTGAATGGCAGCCCTGTCGACCAGCGTCTCGAGATCGTACAGCACAACCCTCTTCCTGACCCGCAAACAGATGGCCGTGTACGTCCCGGGGACGCTGAGCACGCGCGGCAGACGGTCCAGGTCCACGACGTCGGGGTCGACGCCGTGCCGGTCCACCACGCCGGAGATGGGGAAGAACCGACGTCTGCTGGTGAAGCACGGTTGGCACACGCGCTCGCAGGTGATGAGGTACAGGTGGCTGCCAAAGTTCCGGCCGGCGCAACCGGAGCACCGCTCCGTGCACAGCGTGTCGAACAGCGTCGCCGTGTCGAAGTGCGTCGCCCGGATGCTCAGGATGGCGCGCAGCACATCCGGGAAGTGCCGGCGCATCGTCCGGTACTCGTGCAGGCAGTCGACGAGTCCCATCGCCCGGCGGTTGACGCGGCGGAAGGTGGAGAGCGAGAGCACGTCCAGGCGCGGCAGGATGGCCAGGATGACCTCGTCGGGCAGGAAGACGTCCAGGCTGCCCAGAGGTTGCTGCTGCTGCGTCGATCCGTCCGAGGGTCGGCCATCATCGAGCGGACAGTTCGTCCGCAGGGGGATGTCGTCGAGGGTGTTGTCCGGCGTGGGGAGCGTCTTGTATGTATATGCTTGGAGCTGTGCTGATTCCATCTTTTTTTCTAACATGGGCAGTCGTTCGAGATAATCGAATAGGTCGTTCATATAGGAGGCAGAGAAGAAGAAAAACACCCATGTATTCAATAGAAAAAATAGCCCCCGAAGAGAATGGACAAGACTCTCGGCGGAAAAAGAGCATATTGATGAAGGCATCGTCATGCTCCATTTTACTTCCAATGTCCTATCAGCATCTTGCGATCTAATCGAATTTGGCCCATCGAAGCAGAGGGTACTCATTGTCTCGCCGGCTAATCCGAGCCAACACACGCACGATTCAGACAATGTGTAAGTTGTGCGTGTGTACGACCACTAACACGTGCAACGTCTCAGGCCAGCTGCTGCGACGTTGATCATCGAGGACATTCAGCACTTGTCCCTCCCTCCCGAGCCTGACTTTTCATAAGCTGCTATCCTCACACTTGGTTTTCAACAATTCTTGGGCGAATGGTTTAGTGGTATAATTTTCCCTTAGCATCTGCTCTCCTACAAGAGTGTAGTACGCTTTCCTAACCTGGGAAAGGTCCAGGGTTCGATTCCCTGTTCGTCCAACGAGGTTTATCATTTTTTTTCTTCTCTTACTGTTCCTGGCGTATTTTTTTTTATGTATCCTTTTTTTCTTGAATTCCTCGCTTCGTAGTGTATGATCTTATTATATGTTTCATCCGCATTGTTGTTTTTCTTTTTTTTCTCTTCCGTTCGACGCCTGTTTCTTAATTTTCTACCTGCTTAGTGTCTTACTGCCCTACCTCATGTCTCATGGTCATTTCTATCCATCTTGTCGACCGGCGATGCATCATTGTACACATACTTTTAGCGGGGGGGGGGGGGGGGTTACAGATATATTTCATTTCCATGCAACCCTATTCTTTGTATAATGATAATGAGGTGGAAAAAAAACCCCGCCCCTTGATTATTCCCCGATGATTATTATAAGAAAAAATTGAACAATGATACTTTATGTTGCAATGCTGTCGATTCACCGGAAACAGGCCTTAGTGCTGCTCTCCATCCTTTGATAGACTCCTTCTCTTTGACGCCGATCCCTTGCCAACAATCTTCTCGGTCCAGTTCCACTCCTTGGTAGCTGACCCCGTAGGGCTCTTGCTTCTGGCGGTAGGAGACGATGGCGGGCCGTCCGCCTGCTTCCCGTCCGTCCCGACATCGCCGTCGCTATCGTACTCGCTGTCGGCCCAGTCGCGGTCGCTCCACGTCGTGACGTCGCTGCGGTCTATGGTGGACTCGGGCTTGTTGCGCTGGGGGTTGACCGTCAGGCCGGGCACTCGGTCGCGCTCCTCGTCGCCCGTGGCGGGGCGCACCAGCACCTTGTCGTCGCTGCCGCCGCTTCCGCCGTCGCGGGGTGCCCATGACGGGTCGTCCGCCTTGGTCTCCGCCCCGTGCTCGTCCGGGGGCTGGTTCATGTCGAGCGCCCGCTCCCCTAGGTACTGGTCGTCCGTGCGCGCGCGCGCCACCGCCGAGTCACTAAAGTGCGCGTCCACCATGTGCTTGACCACCGGCCAACCGTACGCATTGGCAAACATGCGCCGCACGAAGATGTTATTGTGCGCGTCCGGCTCCAGCTTGACGAGCACCTTGCGCCAAGACAGGCCCTGGTGGTAGTCGCGTGCTATCTTCTCCTCGACGCGCATGCTGGACCCGTCTACCACCACCTCGCCGTCGGGGACGTCCTGCTTCGGCTTGACATCTCCTGCCTGGTTGCCGTTGTCGTCGCCCGTCTCTGTGGCGGGAGAGTCTGCTAGGTGGCTGCCCTTCTTGCCGGTGCTGGCGCTGGCACCGCCACCGGTGGTTGATTGCGATGCCCCGTTCGATGCGGCCGACAGCTGCGAGTCCGTTCTGTTAAACGTCTTTCTGCGCAGAAACGACGACTGTCTCCTCTTTACGGGCGCGGGAGGAATGTCGGTCGGGTGATAGACACGGTCGTGGAAGATTGTGCGCGGCCGTTTCGATGGGTCGATGAGGTACTCGACGTCGGGTATCTTGGGGTTGAGCACGTCGCCGGCCGACTCGAAGAAGGTGGTGCGCGGTGGTGCGTTGAGGCCTCCGATCTCCTCCTCCAACTCGGAGCCCGTCGTGACCTTGGCACGCCTCTCCTGGTCTGGTGACCCGGCACCTGCTGCCGATTTCGTCGCAGGCGCCGGTGCGGTAAGTGTGGCGGAGCTCGAGTTCCCATCGATATGCAGCGTCTGGCTCTTGTTGAGGATCCTGAGCTGCTTCTCCGTGATCGGCGGGTTCTTGGCTGGCTCGCTACTTCTGAAGAGGTTGAAAAAACTGGCCAGAGGACCGGAGCCGGGACCAACAGCAGGGGTGGTGGCCTGGGACTGGGCGATGGGCCCGTCTGCGTCCGGAGCGTAAGATATGGGCACAGAGCCGATGATGGTCCTGCTATCCTCGCCCACGGCATCGTTGGAAGGCTGGGGAACCTGCGACATGTTGTTGCTGTTGTTGTTGTTGTTGTTGTTGTTGTTGTTGTTGTTGTTGTTGTTGTTGTTGTTGTTGTTGTTGCTATTGTTGTTGCTGCTGTTGTTGGTCTTTGGTGTAGACGATCCCGAGTCGCTCGCTTGGGGTTCGACGGCTGCGGTCAGCTGTAGCCTCTGGCGCGCCGTGGCCAGGTTCGTGCCCGTCAGTTCAGCCCAGCCGAAGCCGACCATTGTCTCAACGAGGCCGGCATCCCTCCTGGCCTTGTCGACGCGGCCGAGACCGTGCCAGTCGAGGAAGAGCAGGCAGCTAGTCCGCAGGGGTACGATGCCGTCGTTGACGACGTTGGAGTAGACGGTGCGGTTGCGGAATTTTCTGAGGGCCCGGTGTGCGGGGCCCGTCGGCAGGATCCGCAGCAGCGGCTTCGACTCGGGCTGCGCCTCCCCATACACCTTTCTGTGCGCCGACTCGCCTAGATTGCCGACGAGGGCACCCCATCCACTCCTCGCGAGCGTCGGCGCGCGCCACGTCAGGCCGAGATCCTTTCCCGTCCGGCCAACCAGACCGAAGTCGAGCGCAAACCTGACGTAGGTCGGGTTCTCGTTGCTCAACCCCAGGAACGGCGTGGCCAGGGCGATGAAGTTGACGGGCCGGATGACGTCAAAGAAACTTGGCGAGTGCTTCTGTATGTAGGCCACGGCGTATGTCTGGACGAGGCCGCCCAGCGAGTGGGCGATGAAACTTATGCTCGTAATCTTGTAGGGTCGCGGCCGGTCCTCGACGGGGACCTTGTGCCCATTGGCATTGCCGTGCTTGGCAGGGTGCCCGATCGAGTGGGAGATGTCCTTGCCCAGCGGGAGACATGGCTGATCGGGATATGTCATGGATAGCACGTAGCGTGCCAATCGTTTTCCGAGGTACTTGATGCCGCGTTCCGTCTTGGTGGCATTCCCCGAGTATCCCCGTACGATAACTTCTTCATCGTCGTCGTCATCCTCCTCGCTCGACTCTTCCCCATCAGCGCCGTCGTTGCCTTGTACGGGACCGTCGCCTGGCGGCGATTTTGAGAGTCCCGCCTCGGATGCTTCTGGCTGTGCCTTGCGCCTGGCAGCCTTCTCTTTCGCGCGCCGCTCCTTCGCGTCGATCTTGGCCTGCTTGGCAGCGGCGTCGATGCTTTCTTTTATGTAGAGCATGTCGGCGCTCAGGTTGCTATGCAGGCCGTGTGTCAGGACCACCAGGTGGATCTTCTTTTTGGGCTTGATATTCGAGGCCTCGGCCGGCGTCTTTTCCGCGTGGCTCTTGTCGACCATGCTCTCGACGGGCTTGTCGGGGGCGGGGCGTTGAGAGACCCTCTCGGCACCACGGTCATCCCATCCTGGCAGACGGGGCGTGTTCCACAGGGTGGCTGTGTCCTCGACCTTGAGGCGTACGGCCCGCGAGAAGACACCCTTGGGCTGTGCCGGGTGGTGACCGTCCTTGGCGCCGAGACTCTCCTGGTGGTCGACGAGGTTGCCGGGCTGGTTCTCTTGCTGGCCGGAGGAGCCGGAGGTCAAGGAGGCGATGCCGCCGAGGCTGAGAGACTTGCGGTCGCGGGCGATGAGGACCTCGTAGCCGACGGCGACGGAGGGGGAGAAGATGACCTGGGAGGAGACCTCGACGATCCAGGAGACGGACTCGCCGTCGTGCTCGGGGCCCTTGCCGAAGCCGCCGTGGCTGCCCAGGCCAGCGCCCTGCCTCACGGTGTCGGGGACGATGAGCTCGCACTCCCAGGTGCCGCCGGCCTTGAGCATGGGCTCGAACTCGGGGGTGCCATAGCGCTGGGGGTCGGGGTATTTCTGGTTGGCGTCAAAGTCGGAGGGGTAGGCGGCGACGTAGAGGGAGTAGGGCCCGTGGACGAAGGCGGCGCGCAAGGCGATGGCTGACGTGTTCCGGATGCGCACGTGCAGGCGCTCGGGGGACGGGAGGATCCGATCCTGCGACGGCGTGTACGTGACCGTGTACCGGACCACCTCGCCAACCTTGACGCTGCCAGTCTGGTGGGCGAGAAGCATCTCGCGTCTCTCTCTCTCTCTCTCTCTCGTGCGCGCAGTGACACGGGAGAGAGGGCGGGACGCCTCGTCGATTGTCGGTGGCGGGTGGGGAGGTTCCGACGAGAAGAGGGAACACGTAGAGTGGTCGCTGTGGGGGATGGGCGTGATTCTGTGCTCGAGTCTATTGTATGTGCTTCTGCGAGGCGTTGGTGCGGGTGCGAGTTGAGACTTGGCACATGACACAAAAGGAATCCCGACGATGCTCTACGGGTGGCGATGTGGGGGGGTTGCGGGCGGGTGCTTCGGTGCAGGTGGGCTCTGCACCACTATAACGGCATGTGATGTTGAGGCGCACACACACTATAGGCAGACAAAAGGGGAATGGGAGACGAGGACGATGGTGAAGATGCAAGAAATGATCCAAAAATCTTTTAGAAGAGCTGTAGTACCATTTCTTTGAAGCTGGTGCCCATCTTTAGAGAGTGATGAACGAGTCGACCTCCTCAAGACAAAGAACCGCATGATGCTTCACCGCCCGGCACTTAGGGACGACCCCCAGGACCCCCAACTCAAATATAGGGCAGCACCCCGTACACTCCGCTGAGGCCACTGGAAGTCGGGAATAGAGGGCCTATGAGAGCACCTACGGTACCCCTATATGTATGGATATCCGGTTATTCTCTACGGAGTACAGTGTCTCCACAGCGCCCGGGGCATTATAGTGCCTTTCCAACCTAGACGGCTATGTTGGCTCCATTGCTCGGTCTCGGTCTCTCCTCACCTATACATATAAAGCATTACAAGTATTACATACACGAATACCTGTTGAGGTAGGTATATGTATTCGTGGATCAGCATATGAATCTTCCGGGTCTCCGAGTCTCCGAGTCTCCGAATCCGAGACAGACGGTCTCGCTATTGGGCCCTTTCCTTCCCCAATCGGACCCGCTTCCACGGAGGCGGTAATCGGGGCATGATTATCCGTCGGTGCGACCGACGCACATTTCGTTCGGGAGAAGACGCGCTCTTGCACGCTGAATGCTCCCATCCCATCTTGGTATGGGATGCTCAGCTCTCCACGGCCCCCCAGGTAACTACCGTCCACCAGCCTGGGAATAAAGACGTGTCTATGCTTGGGCCTGCCGGCATCGAACCTGTTGTGGTAGGGATAGGTCAGGGAGGCCCTCATAAACTCGCTGTTCACGGAAATCCACCCTGAGGGCCGAGGCTCATGTTCACCGCCGTCGCAGTAGTCATCGTCATGGCCATGTGAGGGGTTGCCGTAGGACCCTTCTCGTCCGGTAGGATCCTGAGCATGAGCTCCTCTGAGATGGCCGAGAGGTTGAAGAGTTCGATGGCGCCAAGTGCTGGTGATGTGCTGTACATATGTAGCAAGGCACGCGCAGTTTTTCGAGTAATGGCCGCACCGCATGCAAAACGAGACACCGCATCGGCTGGATGAGGGAGGGAAACGAGACTGTCAGTGAAGGGACGGAAGAAAGGGAGAAGATGGGAGTGAGACGATAAGCGAGGCAAGGAGAATCCCGTCCCCGAGCAACCCTGCCTGTCTCTGTCTGCGCGTGACGGCGGTGATGGTGTATGCATATGTATAAGGGCGAGGTTCAAGTTCAGGTCTTCAGCCTTACCAGAGCATGTTATCGCAGCCGCCATCCTGTTCAACGTACATGAGACACCTGGGACAGGCCTTCCAGCCCTTCCTTCTCGCGATGCGCATGAATTCCTTGGTGTCCTCGTCGTAGCAGCACTTGTCCTTTCCGTGCCAGCTGTCCGAGCAGTCGACGCACACCTTTTCCTGACACCCGGCGCACAAGGCGTGGTCGTGACCCGTCCCGTCCGTGGACGTGACGTACTCGCGGCGCCTTATGAATCTGAGGCACTCCTTGTTTGGGCAGTAGAGGGGCTTCACGGCCGTTACCTCCTCGTACCGGATGCTCCAGTTTGTCATATACGTCGGCGACAGTACCTTCCCAACGTCGCTGGCAAGGATGCCTTCCCTGCCGCAGCACCGCGGTGGCATGTACGCCGCCGTGTCCTTCAGGGACAGGTCAAACATGTGTTTGATGCAAGGGTGACAGATAGTGTGCCCGCAGGTGGAAGTGGTGATGGTATCGCCCACCGGCCATACTGCCACGCAGATTGCGCACTCGGCTTCTTGGTAGGCTCGATCATCTCCGTGACGGGAAGCTGGCCCGGTGTGTGTCCTGTGCTCTTCCATCGGTTCGTATCCAGAAGTTACTATGCCAGTTACGTTATATGGTGAGTCTGTGTGTGTGTGTTGGAATGTGGGGGGGGGGGGGGGGGGGGGGGTATGCATGTGTTATATATATCATCTGGACCGGTGTTATCGCGCTTGTGACCTCGCTCAGTCTGTCTACAACGTCTTCATTTATCAAAATACCATGTCCTTTCCTACAGATGTCTCATGAACATTAACCCTACATGGTAACCTTTCGGAGTATGCGGGTGCTCGTGGCGCACCGCAAAAGCTGGGGAAGATAGGTACAGTCTTCACATTGAATCACATCCTATTCGATGGGTCTTGTTGAAGATATACCATAGTTCCTTTGAAAAACACTGCTGCACTTAAATGTTGATTCCGCAAAACTCGACACTTTTGTAGATACTGCTCTCTATGCCTCGAAGTCTCATCCCTCTTCCTCATTCGGAAAAGTTTGAAACGCGTTAGATTGAGAAGCCTGTTCATAACTGAGCTTGATCTCAGATAAGCTTGGAATTGGGGGGGGGGGATGGATACATAATTCTCATTCAGAACTGTTGACCGCAACTCGGTTATATCCGTTGACAGTATCTTCGGACCGGAAGCATCATACATCGTGGTTAAGTAAAGGTCTCTAGATGGTCATCCTGCCTGGGGCCTCATGATGGATACACCTGACCGGCTACTATGTCCCCAAGTACGCTTTAGGTGTTCGGGGCTATCATCCGGAGTATGAACTTCACGGAGAGATACAGAAAGGTGAACACTAGAGGGTAATCACTTATTTATTTATTTTCTTGTCTTCCTCTTTTCTACTCTTGCTATCGAAAACAGTTCTCGCAAAACTTCTGTTCACTTGACCCTTTTCTTCTACAGAGCAAGGTAGGTAGGTTATTTGGCCGCGTGTCATACTTTTTTTTTGACTTGCACGCTGTTGAAGTTCTGTAAGAATGTGAGCAACTTTATCTCTACCCAGAATCCAGAGTGAACTTACTCTTAAACGGGCGTCGCGGTTCCCGTCGAGGTAGATAAGCTATACGGTGCCTGTTCACATGTCAGCTTCCGTCCTCTCCTCTTCCTTGGAAGGGATGACCTGCAGACTCACCAGAACTTGCTTAGCATTGCATATCCTCCACGCCAGCTTTCTCACATTACCATCCGCCATCACCACAGCAGGTGCAAACTCGATGCCAAACATTTCGCGGATAGCATACACCACCCGCTTCGAGTACTTGCTGTCCCTCTCGACATGGCTGCCGAACGGCTCGTCGACGCTACAAGGTGAAATGTCCGGGTCGCGGTCGAGGCAGTTCTGCACGACCGGCAGGATGGCCTCCTCCACCGCAGCCTCGTACGCACCGCTGATGCCCTGGGAATTGAATTTCTCGACCACACCATCTCCATCGACGCTGTTGTCATCATCATCGTCCGCGACAAACTTGGCGATGCGAATCTCAAAGGGCTCGGAGATAGCCATAGCGGTGTGCTTCCCGTCGTGGTGGTAGCGGAACTCAAAGACGCCTTGGGTCCACCACAGCTTGTCGCCGTGGAAGGCAACCTCACCGGACACCATGTCGACGTCGCTACCGTCGTCTGCGGGGACGCTGTGCTCCGGCGTCGTGATGCTCACGTCGGCTGTCATCGCGTCGTAGACCCTTTCATTGGTGGGGGCCCACCGGCCTAGCGACGACACCTCGGTCGCTTCCCTAGAGCGGTTGTCCGTCACCATGTACAGGCCTATCCAGTCACTCTTGCTGTGGTTGGCAGGCGCCCTCCACGTCACCTTGAGGGGCGTGCCGTATTCGTAGACCCGCGTCTTCACCTCCTTGGGGAACCGAGCGTTGAGGCTCTCCTTGCCCGTAGACCTGTGCTTGAAGCCCGAGTGGGTCGGAAATTCCGTGCCGCTCACCGAGAGGGCGTAGTACTTGGGGTTCAGGCCCTCCAGGTCGGGGGATATCCTTGTGATGGTGAGGCGCGCGGGGGCTACGTTGAACAGGGCGGTCGTGTCACGCACAACAGTCTTCATTCCCGAGGCAAACTTGGGACGGGCCGTGTCGATAAAGTCCTCGACGAAGTGGGTTGTTTCGTCCAGGACCTTGTCGACGCTCTCGGACCATGTCCTCACAGGCGACGGCAGCTGTCGCTTGATGAACTTGGTCAGGCCGGCCTCACGGCGCAGTGACATGCCGTACACCTTTTGCATGTGGGGGCGTTCAACATAGGTAATGTACCATAAGGTCAGAAGCTGGGTCATCATGGCAAGGAGGAAGATGGATCTGCTCCACGTAATGAGGGCGGCGCCCCAGGTTCCGGCGATGCCAAAGACACGCTCGGGGTTGTTCACGAATCGGTAGATGGAGGTGTATGTGAGCTTGGCACGTTGGTCAAAGAAGAAGTCACCACAGAACCAACCGAACTCGCCGAGTGAGTCGTAGACGCTGAACGCGGTCCACAGCTGGAGCGCAACCAGGCTCGCGCCGAGGACGTGCTTGAGCAGGACGAGGCCGTGGGTCCAGTCTTCGGGTGCATTGTACATCTTCCAGCACGCAGCCATGAAAGAGGCGTTGGCCATGATCTGGAAGATGTGGTGCAGGCCTTTCCACTGACGCCAAGCTTCGCCGGCGCTCTCACCAAACTTGAGGAAGTGACGGGTCCACATCTTGGTCTTGGACTGCTGATCAAGGATAATGCCCAGCGCCAGGTGATACCAGAGACGCCAGGCGAGAGCATGCATCACGAAGGCACCCTGCCAGACAGGGGTTGAGGGAGTGGCGAACGTGAGGGCAGCTACATACGACGGCAGCAGGATGACGGCGACATCGGGCACACGGAACAGATCGATGTTACCCAGGCCAACCATGTCGTGGACCGGATAGGGGAGCTCCATTCGAGACATGGACACAGCCGAAGGCTGTTGGTCCGACGGCACCTCTAGCATCAATTGCGAGTCACTTTGGCTCCGGGCTTCGCTCCTCTTGCGGGGGGGAGGCGGGTTGTAGGTCTTCTCGATATGTGGGTTCTCAACTGTCACAAGGAAAGCGAACTGGGCGAGGTGGGCAGCGATAGAGATGAAGAGCACCTCGTAGCTAGCAGCCATCATGGAGATGCCATAAAATCCGGCATAGCCGATGCTGTACATGGGATGAGGGGCCATCTCGAATACGCCATCAAACGTCAAATCTTGGTCGATCAAGTAGAAGAAGTCACCCCAGTACCATGCAAAGTCTTTGACCACGCGGTGAGCATCGAGCTTGACCCACAGGTTGAAGCCGACGAGAGTAATGCCGAACACCCAACGAGCTATTCCAAGGGTGAGGCTCTCCTCTTCGGGGCGGTGTCCGCAGATGACGGCAAAGAGACAGTAGGAAACAAAGTCGCACATGAGGATGAGATCGACGACCCTGCGGAAGACGAGCCAGGTGTTGTATTCGAGGGGCGCCTTTTCGAACTCGTAGTCCTCGGGTATCTTAATTTCGAGTTCCTTTTTTAGAAAATTGTACAGCCATGGCCTCGGCTGGTTTCCGGAGTCAGGTTTTTCGAACAGCTTCCAGCGACGGGCCCACGTGATGAGTCGGCGATGGTGGGACTGGTGGTGGAGTAGGAGTCCAATACCAGCGTTGTAGGCGGCACGCCAGAAGAGGAAGACGAGGGCAAAGACGGGTTTTTTCCAGGTAGCGGGAAGCAGGTAGGCCAGGGCGATGAGGGCGCCGAGGATAGCCAGGACGGTGGCATCAGACAAGTTCTTGGGCTGGCGTGGGTCCAACAGCTGCGATACCATGTCATGAGTAGTAGGCACGATGAAAACTTGGGAGGTTCAGCATGCCATTATATCACTTTACCTGGCAAAGGAAGTTATTCGGGTCGCCAACTTACCTGTACCGTCAGGAGTGCGTCCATACGTCTTCTTACCCTTTACCTCGGCAGTGGAACCGGACTCGGCGGTTGAGCAAGTGGTCCCGGCGTCGGTGGGTCCCACATTGTCTCCGGACGGAGACCCGTGGGGAGCTCTCTGCCGAAGTTCGGCGGCGTCAACAGCCCCCTGATTGGTGGCGGGGGTGGTCATTCTCGAATGGGATTCTTAGCAGTTCGAAAGGGTGTCCATGGGAATCTAGGCGTTGAAGCCAGACAAGCAAAAAGAAGAGAAGCGAGTCTCGAGAACCGTTGGGGAGCGGGGTTTAGTGGAAAAGGATAACAGGAGAGGGCGCTAGGAGTAAGAGAGGGAAAAAGGAAACGTAGGTGAAATGAGACGATGACGGGCCTAGCCGGATTGGCGAATGGGTCCGTCGTGTGCTTTTTGTTTGTACTGGTGCCCGACGAACCGTTTTATTGACAGACGATCAAATTGAGAGAGTGGACAACGAGGGCTAAAAGCTTTCCTTCTCTTCCTCTTTTCCAGGAAAAAAAAACTACTGCGGATCGTTGAGTTGTATTGGCGTCTCCGCTTGGTCGTCGACGCTGTCGTCCCGGAATGCACACTGGACAGGTTGTAATACTCGTATGTAATATTACGAGGAGCAAGGATCTCGGAGTGTGACCATAGACAGGTGTCGGAGGGTGTCGAGAGCAGAGTGGGGAGGTCTACGGCCAGTCGCGTGTGTTAAACCCACAGCTGCACAGCTGCTGCAACCGAGAGTGCGTTGTTATGGATCATTACTCGGTTACTCGTAATGGCTTGTTGAGAATTGCATGTTGTGGCTGAAAAGCAGTTATTGAGAGGAAGAGTTGGGAGGAGGGTGGCAGTGGCCAATGATAACCCCCCCAATGGCTTCAATGGTCCAATGGAGGGCAGGAGCTTCCTCGTTTCAGTCCCGCTTCCTCTTCTCGCCCTTTCACTTTCTATAAACTCTCACCTGCTCTTTCCCTCTTGTCCCCTTCCATGCACTTCCATCTTTGTCTCGCTTACTCCCTCCACGTTTGTGCCTCAATCTTCAGGTTTCTGACTGGTGACATCAATTTTAGCTTTTTGGCACGTGAAAGTCGCACAGAGGACAGCCAGCACGTGTCTTTATACTTGTGTGCATCAACTGCCCATCATCACAGTATGTACTTTTGCCACACCTCCTCGATGCTACTAGTATTACTAGTACTACCGAATCATGCCATCATCAGGAATGGTAGCTTGGTATGATTGATGCCCGCCCCTACGATAAAAACCATCATTTCGTACCTTACGGATAGCTATCGTAGGCTCCATATTCACGGGCATAGTAGCAGCAACCTGCCGCAACCGCAACCCGCACCCGCAACCCGGCCTCTTTCAACAACCCCGCTGCGACTCCCTGCGACTTCCGTGGCCTCCCGTCTCCGCCGACCCGCACATGCAGTACAGCATGAAGTATTCATTACATGCACACAGTATCTTGCATCTGGCCCAGCACTCCTCGTGAGGCTGGATTTTATTATTATCACGGAGAAAACATATATTGCCTATCACCCTCTCCTGCTCTGCTCTACTCTGTCCGCGCTCTCACAGAAGAAGAGCAATGCTGCGGCTTGCCAGTAACAATGGGTCGTCGCATGCAGATGCGACTTCCCCTGCCCGCTGTTTCCCAGCTGTTCACCTGTCCCATCATGATCCGTCCTGATTGAGCCATGTCAGGGCTTCTCGTCCTGTTTGCCCCACGCCCCTCCACTCTGAGGTCTTGAGAAGCGGGGACTTGCTTCTGTACGCCAATCCAATCTTGGCGCCGTCTAGCTGTGAGGGGTGATGGGTGTGAGAGTGTGTGAGAGCGAGCTTGCTTTGAAAGCCGCCATGTTACAAGTAGGTGCGTAGTATTCTAACATCTTGGCACTTTGATACTACCAATAGTAATATTACTACTCATCTGCTCTCGCGTACGGCCTTGAACCGGAAAAACTTGTCCGCTCAACCAATGTGTTGCAGATAGCCTTTGTGGTGATGGCGAGCGGGATAGCCTTGCCATGTGGATTCTCCTTGACCGGCATAATGGCCACAATAAAGATGGTGCCTACATGGTACCTTTTTTATTGAGGAGAACTTGCCTCCGTTGTGTCCCATCTCTCGCATCCTAGCTAAGGCCCTGCTTGATAGTGCGCTCATAGTCTCATGCCTGAACAGATCTAAGAAACCTAGCAATATCATCTACCTCGTCCGACTCATTGAGCCAATGTCCCTCCACCTCTGCACCTTCATACTCCTTCCACTGGACACGAAATCCTAGCTTAGGGAGGACATCCTCCGCTCGTCGATCGAGCTCTACATTTACCACTTCATCCGCCCCATGACCTGTGAAGACGAGAGTCTACCGGAATGGTGAAGTTGCGGATTATAACACACGTGGTAGTCCGTGTAGTACCTCCATGACAAACCCCTGTGCTTGGTTGGAACCCTTTGTAAGGCCTCCTTCTTCCACGTTGTCCTCAACTCCTCGATCACTGAGATTCCCAGCAAGAATGCTTCCTGAATTTTCAATCTGATCGGTAGAGGGAAGCCATGTACTGGCCCCAATCACTCCTCCAAACACCATCCCCCCTCCATTCTTGCCCTCGTTCTGGGACCCGGCTGCCAGAGACAAAAAGAAATCTATATAGCAATCGCACCACCCTGACTGATTCCCCCAAGCACAGGCCGCCGCGGATCTTCTAGAGTATTACTTTCCTCACGCACAATCCCAGAGATCTGCTCCACGCCCGGCCATATCCCCAGGATTTGTCAATCGAGTTCTTGACGGGGGGGGAGATACGCGAAACTCCGCACGTCAAACCAACATGGCATGTCCTCTTGGAAGATGTTGCTCCATGATTTGGGAAAGGAAGAGAAAACGAAGCTTCAGGCCCGTTGGCGATGGTATGGAGAGGAGGAGGTCAGAGGTTAATTTGTGCAACTATGTCGCTTTTCCTGTTCTTCTATTTCCATACACACATCAATAGAGAAGAAGAACAGTGACTGGAGAAGTGGTTGTGTGGGGAAAATATAGAACAAGATACAAGATACAGCATGGAAATTTTGTTAACCAACCACTTGAATTAGGTAACAATATAGGGTCCAAAATGGTCCTTTTTTGCAGAGATATTTGAGTTCGCGGCTCGAGTCCTGTTTCTTCTCTTTTACTCATCTGCGTTCATAGCACTCCTGTAATGGATTCCCAGATATTGAGAGGAACAGAAAGATGGAGAGAGGGAGGGAGAGAGAGAGAGAGAGAGAAAGAGAAGAGACATGGATACACAAGAAGCATGTGCGGACGTCAGCGTTGAAATTTCGTTACCCCCCGTATCCGTAGCCCTAAATGTCCCATTGAAGAGGAAAAAAAAAGAATCTAAACAATTTACTGAGCCTTCTTGGCAAACTCCACCCTGAGAATGAGGTGCTTGAAACCGAATCCGTCCATCTTGTTGCATGCCTTGACGGCGTCTTCACGGTCGACGAAGCTGATAAAGGCAAAGCCCTTGGCCATGCCGGTCTCGCGGTCCTTGGCGAGGAACACCCTGGTGACGCGACCGAACCTCTCAAACATGTCGCGGAGTTCACCTTCCTCTGCCATTTCGGAAACCTGTTGTATGTCAGAAAGGAATATACATATATGCAGAGAAATGACAGATCTCAAGAACAAGCTTCGCCCCAGTTCAACCAACCAGGTTGGGGCCAGGTTGGGGGAGGGGGCCGGCGACGATGATGGGGGGAAGGGACTTACGTTGGTAACACGCAGGGTAGCAAAGTCATCACGGTCTCCAAATTTGGAGCCACCGGCCATACGCTCGCCAGCAGGACGGTCCCCGCGCAGAGCGGGGGGGACATACGATCCCTTCTTGTCGCCTCCGCCGGCGCCGCCGCCGGCGCCACCAGCAGAGCTGGGCTCATCTCCCATGCCGGCAGCCGGGTCGGCCGAGCCAGCGGCTCCGACGGGGGCCATGGTGTCCTTGTAGGGACAGCGGGCGGTGAAGTGCTCTCCGCTGCAGATACGGCACTTGACCTTCTTGTCCTTGAGCTTGTCCTTGAGCTGCTCCTGCTCGCTCGACTCCTCCTTGGCGTCCTTGCGCCAGTTGATGCTGGGGCGGAAGATGATGTTTTCTCCCACCGACGTCGTGTCCGTCGTCGGGCCGCTGCCGTCCTTGGCGCTCTGACCGAACTTGGACCACGTCTTGCGGTCCGCCACCCGGGGGTTCACCGTCTCCTTGTGCGTAGTGAAGCGGACGCGCCGCGTCGTCTTTACCTTTTGTCCATCCTCATTGATGCGGTACGAGATGACCGTCTTGGTGCCGTCCTTGTTGGAGATGGTCTGCGTGGGTGGGAGCTCGGTGGGAGCCGTCTCCTCGATGTCGTCGTCGTCGGCCCAGTCATGCCTGTTGGGTTTGGTGGGGTCAGTTCTCTTTTTTTTTTCCTCAATAAATTTCCCTTGCTTCTTTCCGTGACGAGGACGTACTTGGGCTTGTTGGCGACGAGGGAAGCCATGATGAATAATTCGTGCGCGACCGTACGTCTGTTCACTCCAGCCTCGAAATCTTCACGGCGTCGTCGAGTCGTCGGGGAGGGGTTCGGTGGGCTGAGGATGCGATCGTGGGGTTTCTTCAACTCAGTTGGAAATTATCGTTTTTCGTGGTGTGCTGATGATAATGGTGGGGCAGGGAACACACACACACACACACACACATACAACCCATCTCAGCCACGGCCACCAGCTAGACAGAGCCAAGTGTGGCGAGTGGCGTAGCTTGGGTATGCACGTCACATGACTCCTAACAGTATCAGACTGAGCGGCGGAAAAATGTCGATCAATCTGTCACACTCCTGTGCCACATACGCCACGCCGCCACCGGTGGTGCACACACCACAAATCACACTACCGGGTAGCGGAGAAGCCACTATAAACTCGTGACTAAGGAGGTTACAAGGTAGATAAAAGTAGGAGTCCCTTCCCAAGAATAATAATAGAGAAAGTAATATTTAGTTACCATAAAGTAACGATACTAACTATATCATCTACCTTACTTCTATATTGCTTCTCTTATCCCACTAAAAGAGGGATGTCCGTCTCTTTTTAGTGTGTCTTGTGGTATGCCGATGGTTATTGGTTGTCGTATGTTCCTTCTTGAGGGGACAGATCTAAGGTTCTTATTATCATACGTTTCCGCCGTTTTAGTAGATGGGAAAGCAGAGCTATCCCGTGTTATGTTTTAATAGGGACGGTGTCGTGTCATGTTTTTTTGGCCGTTATGATGGCGGGAAAGCAGAGCTGTCCCGTGTCATGTTCTGACAGTCTAACGGTATAATTGTCAGGATCGACACATGAGCAAGACCGTGCAAGAGGAACGGCGGAGGTTGTGAACGGTAAGAAGGTATCGGGATGTTGTTATGAGTTGATTTACTATGACAATAACCGTCGTTTCTTCTTCTTACCTTGGAACTCTGTCTCCATCTTCATTATTCGTTGCCATGATGGCCCCAGACCCACCGATCCCAGAAGCTATTCCCAGATCCTCAAAATCATCGCCCGACTGACACGCCCATTCCGCCTGGCCTCCCCAGCGATGACGAGCTGGGGCACTGTGAGCTGGGCCGAAGTGTATGGCCAGGTGTTCGCGTATCGCGAACTCCGACAGCTCGGCTCCTCTTCGCGCGCCCCAGAGCTGTACTCCGCCTTCCAGAAGGACCACACGGTGGTCATCGTCATGGGGTTCATCCACGCCTTCTCTGGGAGCAGAGAAACCCGACACTACGGAAGCGTAGCTCAGATACAGGATCACTTCAATCGCGTTCGTTTTTTTCTTCCTTTTTGCCCACGCCTATCTAAGTAATAAGAATCGTGGAACCATAAAGCCGAACCTAGAGTCTATTGCTACCACGACATATACAGGCCTAGTTTTGTCTTCAACATGAGCAAACAGATGGGAAGACACGGGGTGGTGATTGTCGACTACGGACAGGTTAGCATCCTCCCCCTCAGCTTCTTTAACACCGAGCTATTACGAGATAGATGGCACCTCGATCTCAAGGAGTGCATGAACGTGTCAAGCTCTCAGGATAGTATACACTACAACAACGCAAACGCCCTGTATGTCGTCTCCGGCTCAAATGACGGCCACCTCTCCGAGTTCGAAACTATATCTGGTCAGGTTGACGGGGGCGGATCGAAAACGCAGGAATACCCCCTTACTAAAGATGAATTCGGAAGGATAGTGTTGGCTTTAGGACCTAGGCGAGGCGCATTCTAGGAAAGGTCAAGCTAAGTATTTAGCAACGTCGGTAGCGGTCGGTAAGATGAGAAGGAAAAAGAGGGTCAGTGTCATACTTTTGATGTGTCTTCCTCCATAGTTTAAGTAAGCGAGACTCGACTATAATGTCAGATCCGTCCCTTCCAGTACAGAAGAACATACATCAACAATCAATAATCAGTCATCAACCATCGACCGTCGGCATGCCACAAGACATACTAAAAAGATACGAACATCCCTCTTTTTGTGTGACATTAGTAGTGTTAAAGCTCTTACTCTATATTGTTATCATAGTGCTAGACTCGACCGTTTCATGGCTGAGTGAGTCCCGCCTACCTGAGCTACGAACTGATTTACCACGACAATTAATACTCGCGATCATTAGCATTTTCAATGATCGTGATTTGGGTGTGTGATAGATGAGTAAGGAGGAAAATGTGGAGTGCACGTGAAAGTCGCATGACGGGCCGCAACACGCTTCTTGTATTCTGTACGCGTAACGCCTACGAGTACTCTGTTAGCGTCTCTTGGACCGGTCATAAAGTCTGAATCCTCGCCTTCTCATACACGGGCATACTGAGCAAGTGCCAAGATGCATCTTCCATCGGGTTCCGGCCCTCTCTCACCAAAACTATCAGTCATGATTCTCAATCTACGAAGTAGTGCGGAAAAGAGCAATATCGGGCATGACCTTGCCATCCCGGGGTCCCTTGCGACACACGTTGGTACCTAAAGTGTTTGAGTGCTGGCACAGCCCCCCGGGTGCGGTTGCCGAGGGCTCTTGACCACGTAATCATGGCGGAAAAGACCATGTGAATAAAAGGGAAGATGATGATCTCCATTCCCGTGGCGCAATAGGGTTTGCCATTTATTTCCTCCTCCTCCATACTCCCTCCCTATCTGTCCCCTCACCTGCGCATTCTCCTCCTCTGTGTGTTCCGGCATCACCACCATCGCTGCAGCTTGAATCGATCTTACTCATACCACGGCACACGTCTATACATAGCAAGTTCTGTCAGGGAAATCTTATCGTTGCGTCGTTCAGGTCCTGTCCAAGCAGGCAGCGCCACCTCGACCCTTTCCGTCCACGCTCAGCTCTCTCGGCCTCCCGACCCGAATATGTCTGGCAAAGACGACAAGAACGGCCAGCCTCCGCCGTACGAAGGAGCATCTGGCGCGCCCCCCAACGCCCCGCCCCCCAACGCCTACTATCCCGGCCCCGGAGGCCAATATGGACAAGGGGGTCCGCCGCCCGGTGGTCCGCCCCAGGGAGGCTACTATCCTCAGCAGCCTCCTCCGGGTCCATACCAGCAGCAGTATCAGAGCGGTCCTCAGGCAGGATACTACCAGCAGCCCTACCCGCAACAATATCCTCCACAGGGCCAGTATCCCCCCCAGGGGCAATATGGACAGTACCCTCCGCAGGGGCAGTATAATTCGTACGCCCGACAGAACAACGATCAGGGCGGCGGTGCCGGAGCTGGCCTTCTAGGTGGTTTGGCTGCTGGTTTGGCCTGCTGCTGCTGTCTCGATTGCTTGTTTTAATATGAGGATGCGACTCTCTTCCTTTTTTGTTCTTTTTTATCTCTTTATGAGTCAATTGCCTGGACGATTAGACGGGTTCCTTGTCTCAGGAGGTGTGCTCCGTAATTTCGATGGACTTGGGTCTCATCTTCTTCCTGTCTTGCAAAAATGCTGGGGTCAGTCTTTTTTCTTCTTACGAATTGCTCTCCACCGGCGTTTAACTCAATTATGGGGTCAAGGAAAGATGACGACTCCTTTTCATCCCTGATGCTATAATTCCCAAATTCAATAGGATATAATATAGTATTTTCGTTTTAATCACTTTGTTGTCGATGACATGTTGTTACGACCAGGTGTGAAGCCCCGTTTTCATTCATCTTACCCTGTGGAACACCCTAAGATTGGCTACCCGATAATAACATTCGTAGACGAAATTTTGAACAACTATGCAGAGCAATGTCATGATGTCATCTCCACGAACCCCACGGATGTTGCAGGCAAATACGCTTTCCCCCATCCTATCTGTTTCCCCTGAACGGGCCCAGCATCCGATAGGCATGGGACTGGGTGTGTTGAAATTGGCATTGCCAATGCATATCTTACGGAGTATACGCGGATACTCCATAAGACTGCCGTGACCCGTAATACCACAGCGAAAGAAATGGAGGAGGAGCCCACCAGGAGTACCCGTCGTAATATTTATTATACCCGAAGGCATAATGAACCGAGTCACTGACTGTGCGGGGAGTACGAGTAGGTGTGGGTGATGATGGAGTTGGGTAAGGCTGACGTGCCTAGAGTGTGACGGGATACCGGGAAAAGCAGTAGCGGTAGTAGCGGCACGGGATTCAAGTGGTGATTCTTGTAGTACGTTTGTGCTGGTGGTGATGGTGTAGTGCGAACCGGTATCTCGTGTGACGTAGTCTAACTTGTCTAACTAGCTGAAAAAGGAGGCCTCGCTCGTGATCTTGACCGTCTTCGTCTTCGTGAACGGGGGGGGGGGGCATGTTGATGCTCTGATGTCCCGATTGTTGACTTCTGCCGATGGTGTGGTGCGATTACGTCGTTTGTGCATGGCCTGTGCAGTAGTGAGTGCGACTAGCCAAAGGCAGAAAACAGGACACGGCGATTGTCCCCCTGCGTGGCGCCAAACTGGGACTCGACGAATAGTACAGATCTGTACATGATGTACAGGTTTCTTTCTTCACAGGACAGGACATGCACAGCCTGTCAGCCTGTCAGCCTGGCAAGAGCAAATTATACTGTTGATATCTGATATCGAAGCGCTCGATGATATATATATATATACATCTCCACTGTGTCAATGTATGACCATGCCTACATGTACTGGATAATAAAGAAGGCCGGATGAAACATGCAGCCGCCAGGGACAAAGGGGGAGGGGGAGGGGAGGGCGCGCTTCGCCTTAGCAAGCGCTTGGGTAGGATCGCTGGATGATGACGATGCAGAGGGCGCGCATGTAATAATACTTTCACTGACAGCACTGTGCAGCGGCCCGGACACCTGTATCTTAGGTGGGAGAGTATCGCTAGTCGCCTACCTATGTGGAATTGAAAGCAGGGGCCTGTCGGGGGCTAGGGCAGAGTCCATCAGGTCATCAGGGGCGGCTCTCCTGGACCTGGAATATCCCCGGAGCGAAGCGCGGTGCAAGCCCCACAATCCGGACCTACTCGAACATGTAGACAGTCGCTCCAGGCTGCTCATGTCTAATAAAGCCACTGATATCATCGACCCAAGCATCCGTGGACCATGCGAGATTCGCTAAACAGGTGGCAGGTGCTCAACAGCTGCCGTGACCCCTGTACAGCTGCGCTGCACTACACCACTAGCTCTGACCCTTTGACCCTTTCAGGGGGGGAGGGGGGGGGGGAGCATTTGGCGGGTTCTTGGCCACTGATGGCACTTAATTTCACTGCGCTAAGGCCGTACTAGGCAACGCAAGATGATGGGGCTCTCCCCCCCTCCTACTCGTAGTGCGTCCTAGTGTGTCCCATACGCATTTGTTGCTCGGAGATCGTCAGTTGCTCTCCATCATCCTACGAGAACCAATGACGCTATGCATCGTTTTTTTGTCCCCCAGCATCTTTCGTCCTTTTTTCCTTCCTTTCCTTTTCTACCTTTTTGTCTCTGCTGGAAAACACTAATTGTGTTAGTGTTGTATCTTTCATTCTTTACTTGTTATTCTCTCCCCCTCTCGGCAGACTAGGGTCTTCCTCTTCTCTCCTTCTCAAGTCTCTCTCATATTCTTTAAATCTCCATACCCTTTCTCCCTTCTTCTGCACGACCTCGCCCCTCGTTTCACCTTTTGTTCTCCTTGTCCGACCGCTTCACTGTCTCTCCTGCGCCGGCCCTCCACCTACCGGTACTACTCCGATCCTCGCACGCTCTTACGACCCTCATCGACCCTTTTTATTTACCGACTTCATCCTCGTTCTAACTCTTGCGACGGGTGAAGCCTTTGATATCACCACCGACCACCTCTAGCATGACTACCTCGCCCGACATCGTGTAGATCACAGCCATCCGACATACCTATCACCGGCAAAGCGACATATATAATACACAAGCCTCTGGCTCCATTGGGGGGAGTCAGACGACGACGCCCATCATGGACATGTTATCGGATAGCCTTGTCCCCGGCCTGGCCCTTCGTGACGACACAGAATCCCACGCAGTCTTTGGCTCTCGCTTCCTCTGGGCCAAGCTGGCAGCCCTTCACCGTAGAGCGGCCTCGAGCCCCGGTGCTGCCCAAGCGGACCAAGGAATTGGCATCATCGGTTTCCTCACTGCCCTAGTTGTCGCCATAATCGTCTTTACTGTCCAGGTCACCTTGTTCCTGCTTCTGAGGAATAAGCTGGCCCGTATCTTGTTCGTCACCCGTATTCCACCCTCCTGCACAGAATCGCCCAGCTAACTTGATACGTGCCTTGACAGTAAACCTAAGACTTACCTCGTTCCCGAACGCGAGCGGACAGACCCTCCACCAGCGGGCCTCTTCTCTCTCTTCATAACCCTCTTCAAGTACAGTGACCGGGAAGTCATCAAGAAGTGCGGCCTTGACGCCTATTTCTTCCTTCGCTATCTTAGGACCCTGCTCGTCATCTTTACCCCCATCACCCTCGTCGTCCTCCCCGTCTTGGTCCCCCTAAACTATGTTGGCGGCAAGGGCCAGAATATTGAGGGAGATGCCAGCAGCAGTAGCCATTCGAATTCGACTGTCGAGGGCCTCGACACCCTCGCCTGGGGCAATATAAAAAGCACCCACACCAAGCGCTACGATGCACACTTGCTCATGGCCATTCTCGTCGTCATCTGGGTCTGCACCGTCTTCTTCTTCGAGCTCCGCGTCTACATTAAGATCAGACAAGACTACTTGACCAGCGCCGAGCACCGACTGCGCGCCTCGGCCACGACTGTCCTCGTCAACTCGATCCCCGCCAAGTGGCTCAGTGAAGATGCGCTCCGTGGCTTGTTCGACGTGTTCCCCGGTGGAGTGCGCAACATCTGGCTCAATCGCGACCTGACGGCCCTCCTGGACAAGATTGACCAGCGAGACGATGTCCACCAGAAGCTGGAGCAAGCGGAGACGGACCTCATCAAAGCCGCCAAGCAGGCCCAAGTGAAGAAGAAGAAGGCTGAGGATAAGAAGAATAAGCAGCGGATATCCAAGGATCAGCAGGCTGCTCGCAATGCCGAGAAGGACGCCAAAGCACGTGAGATAGCCAGCAGCGGCGGGGGAGTCACTGCTGGCGACACCAACGCCACCCCTAACCTTGAAGAATCCCTTGAGCACGAACTGCGCCTTGCTACCCCCGATGCGCAATCTACCCGCCGACGAAGGGGTACCGGCGAGACGCACACGACACGTCACCGAAGGGGCACCGGAGAGACACAAGCCACCCACCCACAAAGGGACCACGAGGCCCACAAGACCGCATTTCTGGGGGTACCCATGGTAAAGCTGGGCACTGGCGCCAAAGATGTGGTCCATAAGGCTGGGAATGGCGTCGAGAACATCTTCGAGACGACCGATGGATTCGTGGGAATCGAACCCTCCGATACCCGTGATACTTACACCTTATCCGAGGACCGCGGAAGCATCAAAGGCAAGGTATCCAGCGAGACAGAACCTGCAAGGGGCCGCACTCCCAACTCGGCCGAGCCTGGGGCTAGGTGTTCGCGATCCGCATCGGGCGGGTCAGATAAACCCATCCAGACGCAGGGCAGACCCTCAGAGACCCTGGACGAGTTTAAGGCTCGCCGGCTCTTGTACATTGACCAGCAACGGCTGAATGACGGCCCCAAGTTTTGGCAGTTCTGGAAGCCCCCTGCTGGCGGTTACACGTCCCCCGTCCCCCAGGGCCAGGATGCGGCGGACTACATGACCAAGGAGGCAGCCGATAAGACGCCATTCTGGCAGAGGGTCAAGAAGTCGTTGCCGTTTGTCGGTGGCGAGGAGCTCGAGACCTTGGAGTACGAGCAGGCTCACAACGCCGACCGTGAAGTTGACGCCGACGAGGAAGAGGCCGAATGGGCCAAGTACCTGACAAAGAAGGATCGTCCCACGCACAACCTACCGCTCTTCGGCGTCAATTGGCTCTTTGGCATCCCGTGGGTCACCAAGAAGGTGGACACGATCTACTGGTGCCGAGAGGAGCTCGCCCGCCTCAATGTCGAGATTGAAGAGGACCAGCGGCATCCGGAACGGTACCCCCTGTTGCCGTCGGCCTTTATACAGTTCGAACATCAGGTCGCCGCCCACATGGCTTGCCAGAGCTCCATCCACCACCTGCCCAAGCACATGGCTCCGCGTATCATCGAGATCTCTCCCAAGGATGTCATCTGGGACAACATGGCCATCTCGTGGTGGCAGGAGTGGCTCAGATCCGGCCTAGTCATCAGTCTGATCATCACCATGGTCATCTTCTGGGCCATCCCCGTCGCCTTCACGGCATCGCTCAGCCAGCTCGACGAGCTCATCAAGCAGAACAAATGGCTAGGATTCCTCAAGTCGACCGACTCCCTCCAGACGGCGGCAGAAGCCGTTGCTGGTGTCCTTCCTGCCGTGCTCCTCGCCCTGCTTCTGATCCTCGTCCCGATGGTGCTCAGGCTGCTCGCCGGCGTCAAGGGGGCCAAGACTGGTTCGCAGAAGAACGAGTTTGCGCAGATCTTCTACTTCCTCTTCCTCTTTGTGCAGGTCTTCCTCATTGTCTCGGTAGCCTCCTTCTTCGCGGCGAGCATCGATGAGCTCTTCCGGAATGTCTCGGAGAAGCTTAACAGCGTCTCGGCAGTCCTGGACCTTCTCGCGACGAACCTGCCCAAGGCGGCCAACTACTTCTTCACCTACATGATCCTGCAGGCTCTGTCGACGAGCTCGGGTACGCTCCTGCAGGTCGGCACCCTGCTCAAGTGGTACGTTGTGGGGCGCATCATGGACAGCACCCCGAGGAGCAAGTGGAAGCGCAACACGACGCTCAACACGGTCAACTGGGGCACCTTCTTCCCCATATATACAAACTTTGCCTGCATCAGCATCGTGTACTCGGTGATTGCGCCTCTCATCTCCATCTTCGCCATCATCACCTTCAGCCTGCTGTGGCTTGCCAACCGCTACAGCATGCTGTACGTGACGCGTTTCGAGCACGACACGGGCGGCGTGCTGTACCCGCGGGCCATCAACCAGACGTTTACCGGCATCTACTTCATGGAGCTCTGCATCGCCGGCCTGTTCTTTATCGTGGACGACGCCGATGGAAAGAACCCGTGCACGACGCACGGCGTGGTGATGCTGGTGGTCTTGGGCCTGACAATCCTGTACCAGATCCTTCTGAACCGGTCGTTCTCGCCGCTCTTCCGCTATCTGCCGATAACGATTGAGGACGAGGCCGTCCTCCGAGACGAGGCGTTTCAGCTTGCCCAGAACCAGCGGTTCGGCATCAACGACGTCGACGAGGAAAAGGGCGTCGGTGCCTCTGGTAGCTACCTGGCGCCGCTCAACTCGTCTCACCGGAACGACGATCGTGACGTTGCCGAGCACACCGACGACGAGGGCAAGGAAGACGGGGAGATCGAGATGGGTGAGCTGCGGGGGCGCAAGCACAAGCAGACCAGCCTCCTCCTGAACCCGGTCAAACAGGTGGGCGGATGGGCCAATGCCGGTGGACGGCAGATCCGCAAGATCACGTACACGGACAGCAGCGCCGTCGAGTACCGGCGCAAGCGGCACCAGCGCAAGCTCGACGCGCAGCGGGCCATCGGCGACGCGCTCTACGGCGGGATAAACGACGACATCGAGGACCTCACGCCAGTCGAGAGGGATCTGCTGGTGCGCCACGCCTTCAAGCACTCCGCCCTCCGGGCCCGGCTTCCCGTTGTCTGGATCCCCCGCGACGACCTCGGCATCAGCGACGACGAGATCCGACGCACCCAGGCCTACAGCAGGAACATCTGGATCAGTAACGAGGGCACCGCTCTGGACAGCAAGTTTCGCGTCGTGTATGGCAAGAACCCGCCTGATTTCTCGGAAGTCGATGTGATTAATCTCTAACACATCTGTCCGGCTGCAACCTTGTTTGTCGATTCTCTCAGCAACTTTTTTTTCCCCATAGCATCAACCATTGGCGTTTTGCACATCTTTTTTTCTTCCATCTCCCTCTTCTTTTCTCTATTATCATGAGCATTGCCTTTTCTTCTCCTTTTCTGTTACATTGTCTTATATCATCCTTGGCCATGGGCACCTGAAGCAAAATACATTCAATGGCAGGAGTTAATCCACGGTGTTTTTTTATGTCCTTTTCTTCTTTATCTCTCATAGCATGGGTTGGACGGAAGAAAAAAAAAGTGTTCACCTCGTAGAAGACAATACTTTATGACTGTATTTTTTCTTCTCTTTCTCTTTCTCTTTTCTTTCCCCTCACCATTCCTTCTTGTTTCCTTGATGGTAGCTCATCTACTCCTTCTAATTCGAATAATGATGTAATCCAATAGATGCTGGACAGGTACGTGTACCTACTGGCGACCTGTCATGCTGTCGCGATAAACAGCTGAATAAGTTACCGGAATGGATTTATTCCGGCCCGATTAGAGACGTCCCTAACATAAACGGAACACCTATACAGTCACTATTTCCTTCATGTAGCACAACAACAACACGCATCATGAAGAGGGCAGAATACCGCCTTGATTGGATCCCTTTCCATCCCTACTCTAGTGCATAATTATTCGGATAAATATCTTTCCGATCCGAACCCTCATAGGAGCATCTTACCGATCTTATCCCGCCGCTACGTCTGACAGCAGGACAGGCCGTAACACATCAGCCCAGATGACAGGAGTGACGGCGGTTGAGCTTGCCAAGCACCCTTGGCTTTAGGGCCGAGATTGGTATCTAGGCCGACGCGTGGTGCGAGCTGTCTGGTAATGTATCCCCACTTCTACAGCGGGAGATTGGGGGGTAATCGGCATCATGTGCCTCTCAGCAGCAAGGGGGGGCGTAAGGCTTCCGGGCCTCTCTTGCGGACGTGCCCAGGGACCCATGGCCGCGAAGAGCGCCAGAGGTCAACGGCGGCGAGAAAGACAGCTGGGTTTTCTAGATAGAAGAGGTTCACGGGACGGCCTGTTCCAACGGTGCAGTGACTCTGCCACAGATGTCTGCATGATTCGACAGAGGCACGGCTGCCAATCATAGTCTCGAAGGAGCACTGACTACTACTACATGAACCGTGCCATCTTCAGTCTCTACCGCGCATCCCATCAGCCAATCTCGACGATGAGACGTCTGGAGGAGATGTAGTCAACTTGACACTGTCCCCGGCCTGTCCAACTAGGGAGACTGGAAAACTGCAAGAGGCACTCTTCATCTTCTATATAATACGTCATGTATTTTATAATATATTTTTACATAAAATGCATTGGACTGCGAATTGCTCGTACGGTTTACTTCTGATATGTAATGTGTTGAGAGAGTCAACTACTGATACAATTCACTTCTTATATCAAGACTGCTAACTACTTATACAATCTTTGCATTGCATAATTCGGGGTTGAACCATGTATTATTGATGTAATCACATGCATTTTTTACAACATGTCCCAAGTGAAGACGTCTAAAATATGAACCAAAAAGAGAGAAGAGCAAAAGAAAAAGAAAAAAAATAAAATCCCGCTCCATCTAATATGCCAATAAAAAAAACCGAGGAAAAGGAAAGAACCATTGCTATCTTGGTTTTTTGTTCGTTTTGTGCTTTACGTCCCTCACGACCAATCAACCGTCTAATTGGCGCCTCCTCTTCTCATCAGCCCTCGTGCTCTCCATCTCCTTGCAGATGAAGTCATTGAAATCACCAGGGTTATCGAGGTAGAGGTGGTGGCCAGCGCCGGATATGATCTTGACGGTAGCCGAGCCGTTCTCACGTGCCTTCTCGTCGGGTGTGGCGTCGGCCAGGGCGCGCGCGCGAGCCTGCTTGAGCTTCTCCTCTGCCGCGAGGCCGCCCGCCACGTCCATCCAGTCGTTCTCGCCGTACATGAAGACTATGGGGAAACCCGTCTCGCGGCGACGGGGTGACGTGGTGGTGGTGGTGGTGGTGGTGGTGGTGGTGGTGGTGCCTGAAGCGGCAGCAGCAGAAGCACTGCTCGGGGCGGGGAGAGGTTGACGGCCGACGTCCTGGATGCGATCGATGACGGGACGGCGGGCGTAGGCACCCGGGGCAAGGATGTATGCCAGGGCGTACTCGCCGCTGCCGCGCTGACGGAATATGGAGAAGGCATAGTCGTGGAGGGCCTGGGCCTCGTCGGCGGGCAGGTGGTTGAAGCGGCGGGAGGTCCAGCCGGACACGAAGCGGGGGCCCAGCGGTCCGGTGAGGCGGACGATGCTGAAGGGGGAGATGTTGGCGTCCCAGAGCCAGACGAGCCAGCTGGGAAGGGGACGCTTGGGCATCATGGGAGGAATCTTGTTGCCGACCGGAGCGGCGGCGGCAGACGAAGACGAGGTCTGTACCGGCTGAGCGGCGGCAGCGGGACGGTGCTTGGTCGTGACGTTCTCCTGGTCCTGGGTAAACTCGTTCTCGAGCGTCGACTCGTCAGGCCCGGGCATGGCGGCGTCGACTGCGTAGGGGTCCCTGGGGATGCCGACGGGGGAGGCGAGGATGAGCTTCTTCAGGTGGCCCGGGTACTTGAGAGCGTAGGAGACGGCGAGGTATCCGCCGAGGGAGTGGCCGAGCAGGGTGAAGCGCTCGATCTTGCGGGCGACGCGCCACTCCTCGAGGGCGTCGACGAACCAGCTCTCGGCCTCGACGACCTGGTCCTCCTTCTCCCTGGCGTGGATCTTGAAGGGCGGCCGCGACGAGTTGCCCATGCCGAGCATGTCGAGGGCGTAGAACTTGATGCCGGGCATGCGCGTTATGGGCTCGTAGTTCTTGTAGAAGAAGCCCAGGCCAGCACCGTAGCCGTGCACCATGACCAGAGTCTCCTCGTCGTCCGTCGCCGCCGTCGCCGCGGACCGGTCGGCGGAGGGTCCCTTGACACGCTCGATCGAGAGCTCATTCAGGGCGCGGTTGCGGCCGGACAGGCGAACAAGTGTGCGACGCCAGATGCGCGTCCCGGGAGGGTACGTCGTCTCGACTGCATTGGGGTCGGCCAGGGTGTCGATAGCTTCCTTGATGTCGGGCATGAGGCGGAGGACGTTGCGCTCAGCCATGCTGGGGGTGACGGAGCTCCACTGCGACTCTCCGTCAGTATGGGGAATATCGATGGGAAGCAGTGAGACGATCTCTTACCCATTGGTAGGCGGCTTCCTTGTAGCTGAGGGGGAAGAAGGGCGAGGGCGCCTGCCTCTGCTCGCGGGGTTGCGGGCCGGCGGACATGGTCGAGGTAGTTGCGGCGGAACTGGTGCTGAAACGGAAGGTTTGCAAGTTGTTGTTGCTATTATTATTATGATTATAGTTTATTTTCACAGTCGAGATCGTGTTGTTGTTGCTGTCGCTGTTGCTGCCGCCACCACTGGATGGAGAAGATGCGGCAATGGCAGTGATGCGTCGTGAACTGTGGATTATGGCCGAAGCGGATTGTTGCTTGAGCATGGCGGGCAGCGTCCAGCGCTTATATATCAAGGTGTGCCCATGCGGGAGGAAAAGGAAACGAATAGTCCGCCACGACAAAGTAATAGCAGGTAGAGCTGGTAAGCTCAGTGGCGTGTGTGTGTGTGGCTCCGGTCAAGGCTGAGAGGGGTGGAAACCGGAGTTAACGTTAACGACGATTGTTGACGGGGTTTGTAGACGGGGCGGAGACCGTCGAATATTCCGCTCGCGTGGCGTTGGTTCGATATGGTGTCGATATGTCTCCTTTTATAAGTAGCGGGTGTTGAAAATGATGGTCAGTAAGGAAACAGGATCGAGAGAGTGGAGAGAAAAAAAGACAAGGGAAAGCAAAAGTATGAATCAGGGTCGTGAGGCTTTTCCTGCTCATCTGCTGCCGCCGCCGCTGCTGCTGCTGCTGCTGCTGCTGCTGCTGCTGCTACTGCTGCTGCCTCTCTGTATTTCGTTGGGGCGGTCACTATGGCCTTTCTTGGGAATACTACGGAGTATTACATAAACATGTACTGGCTAATACTAAAGTACCAACGCCCCACTTCAGCTCTTTCCCCCCTTAACCAAAATAATTACCACGGAGGCAAGCCTCGAGCTGTCATAGGACAATCCATTCCCATATTAAGCCACACTTTCATTCATACGATAAGCCACAGCCCTCGATATGGATACCCAGTCGTACGAGCGCTGAACACCGCCAAGCACCTCCTAGACATTTTAGCGCTCGACAGTGGCCTCATCCTCCTCCCCCCCAAACGGCAGGTGGGGACCCCCCTCCCTTCTCTGGTGGGCGGCGGTCGGTGGCTGGAGCTCTCCGGTCTAAATCCAACGACAAGATCTTTGTCCGCCTTATTTTATTTTTTTGCTTCCCATGACGGCATCATCACCAGCATCACCGCGTGCTCCATCAAGCAAGCACTCTATACCCTCCAACCTGGGAATGACGATTACGACGACGAAAGAATAACGTACCCTGAAACGAATGACCTGAACACCATCTTCCTCTTCTACTCCGACATACACGCCCACCTTTCTTTTCTGCATGGCCGTTGACTCCTTCTGAACCTTGGCTGGTTCTCCCTCTCCAAGGGCGGGGGGTAAAAAAAAGAAAAAAAAAAACCAAAAACCAAAAAAAAAAATAAAGAGAGAGCTGCATCACAATAGGAAGAGATTTAAGAAGAAGAGGAAGAAGAGAAAGGAAAGAGAAAAAAAAGCAGACGAGATATCTAATACATTTTCAAGAAGAAGGAAAGACACAAAAAAAAAAAATGTCACGAGATCTCGACTCCATCGTCAAGGGCGCTGCGACGGTGCCATCCGACCCGAACAAGAGCAACACGACACCCATCGCCACGCCTTCGGGACGAGCGGGCGACCCGACCAACAACGCGCCCAACACGCCGTCGATGGTGTACCTCAACCTGCTGATCCTCGAGGCCTCCCTGCGCGCGCAGTTCCTGGAGCTCCGTGCGCGTCGGCGGCACCACACCTTTTTCATGACGCTGCTGACGGCCTGGATAGCCCTGTTCGGGTGGCTGGTGTTTCTGGCGCCGCGCGAGGACGGGCTGGGAATGGGAGGGTCCATCTACTGGGCCGTCGAGGGCGCGCAGAAGGTGTGCCTGATGGGCGGCGTCATCACCGCCGTGCTCATCTGGGCCGTGGGCATCTGGGAGAGGGGCATCCGCTGGCCGAGGCGGTGGTTCGCCATCTCCAACCGCGGCCTGCGCCCCTTCAACTGCAAGCTCGTCCTGGCCCGGAGGCCGTGGTACGCCGAGGCCGTCTCCACCATCGCCTTCTTCCTCACCTACGGGCTCTTCTCCCACACGTCGTCGTCCTCCTACCGATACGTCGACGCAGGCCTCCTCCGCGAGGTCCAGCGCGAGCTCAACCTCTCCGGCGACGCCCACCCCACCCTCATCGCTCCGCCACCGCCCTCCTCGTCATCCGCATCCCGTGTCGCCACCTCCACCGGCCCCGGCGGCGAAGACGACATGCTGGGCCACGAGGAAGACCTCGCCCCGGGGGGGGACTATGTCAAGCTCCTCCTCCTCGCCAAGCCCTTCTCCCCCACCTTCCGCGAGAACTGGGAGCTCTACCGCACAGAGTACTGGGAGCGCGAGAACGAGCGGAGGGCCCTCCTCCGCGCCAAGGTCAAGGAGCACGACCGCGCTCTGGCCAAGCAGCGTTACGGCTGGCTGTGGTGGCTCCCGGGACGACGTGTCGTCACCCGTCCCTCGCCATCTTCCTCCTCTTCCTCGGGAAACAACGCCAAGATGAACAATACGAGCGGCATCAGCAATAACAACCTCCTCCACCCCAACGCCCGTCATCACGGCCACAATCATCATCCCGCCGACCGCAAACGCCGCAGCAGCAGCAGCAATACCAGCGCCCGCGCCCGCCGCGGCTCCACCTCGTCCTCGCGCAGCGCCGCCTCCACCGCGGCCGGGACGGGCGCAGCGGCCGCCGGCCTCGACTCCTCGGACGACGGTAAACCGTCTCGTAGGCTGAGCGCCTCGTCCTCGGCGTCGTCGTCCACGGCCGGCCCCGTAGGCAGAACACGAAAGCAGGCATCCGTGTCATCGAGGCCGAAGAAGCCCGTCGGCGCCGCCGGTGCCGCCTCCGCCGTGTCCGCCGCAGACTCCCGCTCCGTCACACCCGATATCCCCTCCCCCCTCGCCATGGAGAGGAGCATATCTTCCGAGTCGCATGGGTCCGAGCCCAATTCTAGTAGGAGACTCACCAGGAGTGCGTCTAGGTCAAAGGGTGTTTCTCCGTAACGCGTCTTCTCCTTACTCTCTTCATTCTTTCTCTTCTCGTCATCTGTCATTGGGGAGGGCTTCTTCTTCTTTTTTTCTTGGTATCGGTTTTTTTTATATTGTTTAGTCGTCTCGACAACTTTGTCGCATCATTATCATGGGATTCTCGTTTTAAGAGAAAATACACATCACCTAAATGCCCCTCCTCCTTCCTCCCCCCCTCCCCTTCTCACTCCTACGAATGGTGGCGCAGCCCGTGATCCTCGATACCACAAAGCTTCATCATGTGAACTCCGGAATATCTTGACAATGTTACATCTTCATTCTCTGGTATACTAGACTAACTCCCGGACAAGCAAGCAAGCAGAAGACAGAATAAGAAAGAGGAAAAAAAATGAAAAGCAAATCGTGAGCTAGGATCCTGCCGTTGTCTCATTCGTATTCTCTGCATATCTCTCTGCACCTCCCCAATATACTAATAGTAGTGATAGTCATCTTTCCTTTCCCTACGGTACATTGTTTTGTCTGTCTCGTCTTCTTTTTCCCTATTGAAGGAGGCAGTAATACAGGCGGGATTTTATGTTTTTCTTTTTTAAAAAAAAGACAGGATGAGAAATGAAAAAGTAACCCCCCCCCCCCCCCCCCCCCCCCCCAAAACCTCATATCTACATGTAAAAAAGGAGAAGAAAAAAAAGGGGGGGAAAGATGTTAAAAAAAGAGAAATTGTAATGAAATAAGAAAAGGGAAAAAAAGAGCAAATGNCATCTTTCCTTTCCCTACGGTACATTGTTTTGTCTGTCTCGTCTTCTTTTTCCCTATTGAAGGAGGCAGTAATACAGGCGGGATTTTATGTTTTTTTTTTTTAAAAAAAAAACAGGATGAGAAAAAAAAAAAAAAACCCCCCCCCCCCCCCCCCCCCCGATTTGGCGTGATATATACATGTAAAAAAGGAGAAGAAAAAAAAGGGGGGGAAAGATGTTAAAAAAAGAGAAATTGTAATGAAATAAGAAAAGGGAAAAAAAGAGCAAATGGCTGTTATGGGTATGTTATGATGCTGCTGGTTTGGGAATCTCCCATATCAGGACAATGACAGAGTCCTTGTTATCTTCACTTCCGCGCCCGGCTTTCCGCACGTAAGCCTGCCATACGGAACCGTCTTTGGTTGTGGCTGAATCCATGAGACGCCACGAATCTCGCCTGCCCGTCCAGATTATCTGCGCCCTGTCGATCTCGGCAATGTTGTCGTCGATAACTATGCGGTCGGGTGTCTGCGGTGTGGACGGCGACGAAGACTTCTTGTGAGAGGTGGGGGTCTCCCTGTCGACGTCCTTTCCATGGGCACCGTCGTCATCCTCGTCGTACCGATTTTCGCTGAGGATGTGCACTTCCACGCCGTCGGGGTAGTGGTTCAGGGAGACGCCGTTGACAAGGACCCAGTTGTCGCGGAAGAGATAGCGCTGCATGAAGCAAGCCTCGCCGCAGACATTGGTCACCAGGTGGGCCTTGTTGACGTCGAGGAGGTGGCGCTCTCCGTATCGGCGGAGCAGCAGGGGTTGGAGACCCATCTCGTAGCTGTCGGACTGCGTGTCGGCTACGGCGGCCTCGTCGTTGGGCGAGAAGAAGCCGGGTAGGACGTGCATGTTCATGTCCGTGTTCTTGAGGATGCACGTCTGCAGGAGCTCATCCCAGCGCTTCGATGTGAAGGACATGGTCTGGCCGGACTCGAAGCAGGGCAGGCTGGCGGTGACGGAGACGGCGCTGCGCGAGAAGATGACGACGCCGCCGCCAAAGGTCGTGGTGGCCTTCCCGCCCTCGGACCAGTCCGGCCGTTCGCTAGGTACGCCGATGTAGACAGGGCTGTCGGTGTTGTAGGCGAAGAGACGGTCACGCAGGTTCGCCAGACTGGGGAAGAAGACCTCGTCCTCGACGAGACCGAACCAGCGCTTCTCCTGGCCATTCATCTCCATGTTGGCGGCAAAAGTTCTGAGGATCCTGGTGAGCTCGACGTACCGGCGGGCCATGGACATGGGCTCATCGGTCGACGTGACCCAGCAGTCGATGCCGGTGGCCTGCAGGACGTTGTCAATCTCCTCGAGCTCGTCGGGGCGGGCCTGGTCCAGCACGACGACCAGGCTGGCACCGTTGGCGTGGTGGTGGCCGTCGGTGAGCCAGCGCGACCATGCCTTGACCATGGCGTAGTCGCGGTCGGCGATGCGCGCCACCGTCGTCGAGATGCCAAAGAGGAAGTCGGAGGCGTCGACCTGGTCCAGCATCGGGCTGACGGGCACGGGAAGCTGCATCCTCTTCTTGGCATAGAGGTCCATGCGGTCCGGGGCGTTGATGTCGATCGTCTTGGACGAGACCGACTCGAAGTTGAGTCTCACCTGCGTCACCGACGGCCACTCGTCCGACTGCTCGCTGGGAACGATCCTCCAGGCCCTCCAGATCGCCTGCTGCGACAGTCCCAGCTCGCGCCCCAGACGCGCCAGGTACAGCTCCTCGGCAGATGCGCTCCCGTCCTCGTTAACCTCTGCATCCTTCAGCAGCGGTGAGCTCGGGGGCGTGACGACGCCTCGCTGGGCGCCGAAAAGGAAGACCCCAATGATGAAGAAGACGAGCAGAATGTGCGTAGGCCGCACGGCGAGGGGTCCTTTGCAGACAAACATGGTGCTGTGTTCCTCGCTCCTCTCCTCTCCTCTTCTTTTCCCCGTTCCCCTTCTCTTCTCCTTCCCTTGCTCTGCTTCCGTCAGCCGTCAGGTCAGGTATTGGCGCCAGGCAGGTGTGCGCCTGGTGAAGACAGCCCCCGCCCTCGTCGTCGGCCGCCTGGGCTTCTCCGCTGGAGCTGGGTCTTGTCGGGCCCGGAATGCGCTAGAGGTAAGTGGGATGGATGGGCGGGCGCACGGCAGGGAGATTCAGATTAATATCCCATGCTACACGCTTTATTTTCCCTTTCCCCGGGTGCTGGAGAGAGGGGTTTAGATGTCGTGGGTGTTTGATGTATGTGTGTTTTTGCGTGCGTTCAAAGAGGGATGATGTATTAGAAAAGTTGGGAGCGAGAAGAGAAAGACGGCCTGGATGAGTGAATGGGAGGGGAGGACGCCGGATAAAAGAATGATAGCGGCGCCAAGCTAAAAGGGTGGACTGGGGGACACTGTGAGGGAAGGAGCCAAGACAAGGCCCAAGGGTACATGTACGAGTAGAAAGGCGTTGTTTGTTCGGGGGGGGGGGGAGGCCACGGGCTCAAGAGTCAAGGTTCAGGGGGTACTCTATAGATAGGTTGTACTGGATATCTACATATTCTGACATGCTCTGCTAGCGATATATGTACGAGCAGGTCATTGGGCCCCTCGAATGTGGTGATATGCATATATCTAACCGGTGACCTCATGATTTATGCACGTAACTACACATACGCTGTTCCCTCTCACGCAACTATTATCAGGTCTACGCGGCAGGATACTCTGGACCGTCAGCGACGGTAGAACTGCGTCAGCCTGAAGAGAGCGAGAGCTGGGCTCTTTTGCCTACAGACTCGATAGCACTGATGGTACTACTGATAGTACTGCTGGTACGAGTAGTATCTGCCACTCGAAACACCCATCAACTTGAAACCAAAGGGAAAGTGAAGAGACAGGAAAAAAAGAAATTGGTGGGGCACCTAAAAGCCGCCTAGACACAAACCCCTAGCCCATAAAGATGTTCTGCAGCATACAGGTACCAGCGAACCCCTGACGAAACGGACGCCATGACGGGTGGATAGTGGGTACAATCGTTGTCTGCAGGCACAAGGGGCGCCTCCATGTACTACAATGCTCGTACCTTCATGCATACGAGTACTAGCACTGCTACTACTGGGACTCGTACTGTTGGGAATTATGACTGTATCCTTATAATAAATGTACTGCTGTATCATTACTATTATAGTTTCCTCCATCTTCGTGGAGCTGTTAGCACTGACAGGCTGCTAAGGATTTGCTACATGTACGGGTAGAAATGCTTGTATCCAACAATGCGCTCACACCCGTACCAAACCAACTCGCTCTGTCGGTCATACTCTCCTACCGGTAGTCATGATACTACCCCGTGTATTACTAGCAAAGACTCCGTTCAATATTACTCCGCAAGACTCTCCGTGACTGGCCTGCAAAGGGAAGCTCCATCCATAGACTCCGTTGCTGCATGCATCAAGTTGGGGCCCATGTGCAACGACGATGAACATTATCACCGTGACCCCCGAATCCTACCGGTAACGGTCCGGATTCCAGCTGCTGCCGTCTACATCGATGTTACTACGTGCATCCGCATCAGCATTACTACGGGTATGAATACTATCCTTATGCAGCTACATTGACATTTACTACTTGTACTCATTCAACTACTATGCATGCACGTCTTTCCCACAAGAACGAATGGATGGTGGTGTGCGCTGCTTGATTACGCCGCGGCTTAGCAAATATTCTGTACCTGTTCCTCATACTGACTAGCAATGAATTGTCGCCAAAGGTCCCCTCGGCGTCTCCCAAACTTCAGCTAGATTACTTCTCTTTTCTTCCTTCTATCTCTATCTCTCTCCTATAACCTTGGTAACCCGTAGCAACTCTATAAGTCGTTAGCTCTCAGCAAATATCACCCACCTCGTCCTGTTGCCTCGTCGCATCGTTGCAGGTCACACTCGAAAAGCTGGAGAAGAAAAAAAGAAAAAAAAGGAAAAGCGAAGGTAGACCTCTACTCATACGAATATCAGGAACGTCGTGAATGCCCGCCGGCCCGTGGTTTGCACGTCCCACCGCCTACCCCGGGTCTTCACCGTTCAGTGCTCAGTCCCCCCAGAAGACTTGAGTCCAGGACCTAGATCGTCTCATGCACGGCCCGCGGCGGGGTGCTGACGGTTTCCGCCAAGGAGCTGGTGGCCGCCAAGAAAAGGCTGCTTCAGGCTTCGTTTGGAATTGTATGCAGCTGGCAGGCTGGCACGCACCGCCGCCTTTGCGTCTTGCAACCGGTCGAAGCAATCGGCAACGGTCTGCTCAATCGGCTGGTCCACCGGAACGAGGCCGCTCTCCACAAGCCTACAGATGTGATCCTCAACAATCTCAAACTCGGCCTTGTTGTTTCTGTACCGGTCGGGGAGTCCGCTGTTGTGCATCAGTGCCAGTATCCCGGCGATCACCGTATTGGCCGCCGCCAGTGCCGTCGTGCGTGAAGCCTGTTTAGGAGAGCCTTGTCCGAGTGCAGCCATCGTCGCGGCCACGACGATGTGCAACAGCATGAGGACCCACCTCAGGGTGCTGGTGACGTGGAAGAAACAGAACCACATGGTCCGCTCCTCCACCACATTCCTGTACAGCCCTGGCGCCATACCTCTGGGCGGCCACCACCAATGTCTAGGATGCACAGGCTTGGCCTGCTCCACATCGTGAACCGCACCCACGCTGCGTGCCAGCATGGCCCGTTCCGTGTAGGAGAGGCGTCGGTAGCCTGGTGCCTGCTCATCTTTCTTGCCATCACTGCCATCGTCCCCGCCGGGCCCTGCCTCCAGCTGCAAGAGTCGGGCCCCTTCATGCCGAGACTCTGGGTGTTGGGAGCCTTCTGAGTCGTCTCGTTGCCCGTACGGAGACCGCGGTCTCGGCTCTTTGGCCCTGGCAGCGTTTGAGCGTTGCAAGACATGTCCGTCGCCATGCTGCCCCTCGTTTCCCCCATCCATGTTCGTGTCACAGTCGACTCCGTGTTATTACAGCTTTACTCCGTAGTTTGTCTGCAGTTTTACAAATGACAAACGCCCGACGGGCCGGTGTACCTGCCAGGTGACCAGGAATGTCGCACTAGTGCCTCGAGACTCGGCTAGCTGCTACAGCTGCAGAGGCAAGGAGAGGCCGACGCAGAAAATGAAGATGAATATAGTAAACGCGCGTCTTTGATGTTATCGGCTTGACTCACGACTTCGCCGACGGTTAATGCTCTCAACGCGAGGTCAGTGTACGGGAACAGAGGATCGGCTGCTACGCACGGCCACAATGATGGCACTACTACCCGTGAAATCTGGGGAGAAGGGAGAGAGGTGAGAGAAAGGCGATCAGGATGGCTCACTTCTCTGCAATGACGGCCATGCCTTCTCGATACAATTCTCCCTCACTCCTTCCTTTCGCGATTATTACGGTGAAAGTCTTCCTCTCGCAACAACGGCAAGTGCATGGGTGCCCGTTATTACCGTATTACTGCCCTGCTCCTTCTTGCAGATGTCCACATCCGTAACGCTGATAAAGGAAAGCTGCGCGTCGTTCCCTCCCATATTTGGAAGGTCCAGACAGGGTTTTGTTGTCTTTGGGAAGGTACCACCCACCATTACAACTCCGTGTCCGTGTTCCATATCCAAGTAGCCAATGTGTATATGCACATATACACTCTGCACTCTACATCTACCGTACTTATATCCGTATGCTTAAGAGCATACTCGTATACATGCATTGGCCGCGCGATGGCGAGAACACAGTCGCCGACCAGGGAGACGTTTCATGCGAACGTAACGACCGGCCTAGAACCTTTTGATTTTCCGTTACCCGTACAAACTATTTTCGTTGTTATTACTGGCCTAGTTAGGCTCTTCTTACCAGCCTTGGCATTTTCAATTGTCGTGAGTTGGCAACATGTAGATGTCAGCTGTCAATTGCTTGTTGACACATTTTCCATCAGTCGGCTAGAGTGACGCGGGGCCATCCATCACATGCTCATGCTTGATATGGTTCATAGTTCATGGCCGGCACTTGTACGAGTGAATATGCATACATCAAATTCGTACTGGTCTGTAAAGCAGCTCTAGTACGAGCAGCGCTGATTCTGCGGTAATATCTCTCCGCCGAACATTTCACAGCAAAATGGCAATGTATCAACCCAAGTAGGTTCATATCGTCATCCTCACACGATATAGCGTATGAGCAGCTATGATGTAATATGATGTAAATGCCACTATCATCCATGTATCTGGTGGGTTGGGCGCAAAGTAACACTCCCCCCCCCCCCCCCCAGTTCAAAGTAAGGTATGGGAATGGGACTGTCATTAGAATGGTTGACAGCTTACCTGTACGGAACATTACACGCTGTAATAATACTCCGTAAAGCCTGTAAATATTACTCAGTATTACTTACAGGTACTGATATCCACCTTGCCGCAACACTCACCGCCCTGGCGATCCGGCGGCAGAAAGCCAAAATTTGCGACGCGCTAGTACGAAATTCTGTAGTGGTAGTAGTAGTAGTAGTAGCGAAATTCTTAATCGAGCCGGTTGACTCTGCTTCGTGGAATGAGTCTGGAGAGAACTGCATCCATCCTACGACCGTCTCTCTTGGCCAAGGTTACGGTCTTGGTCACATCGAGCAGAATTCTCCGTCCTGTCCCGTCGAGATATATCCTCTGCCACCACCGACACTACCACCGCCACAGCTGCACCAGAACCCCACGAAGACAACCCTACGAGAGCAGCAGCAACAGCAACAACATGGCACCGGCCGATCCTGTCGCGACGGGCACCGTCCAGAAAGATGGCCAGGAGTTCAGGACGGTCAAGGAGGGAAAGGCTACCATCCTTGTGCCCCAGGGGGCCAAGATCGGCGCTGACAAGAGCGAGGTGCAGCAGGTCTTCTACAACCCAATCCAGCAGTTCAACCGTGACCTGTCTGTGCTGGCCATCAAGGCCTACGGCGAGGAGGCTCTCGAGCGTAAGCGGGCCCAGTACGGCCTGCGGAAGAGCAAGAAGAGCAAGAAGAGGAAGAGGGCGCAGGAGGACGAGGCTGGCAACAACGGAGACGGCAGCAGTGCGGCAGCCCCGCAGCAAGAAGAGCCTGTGGCCGCAACCACCGAACAGGCTCCAGGGCAGCAGCAGCAGCAGCAGCAGCAGGAGGAGGAGGAGGAGCCATGCGCACCAACCTTCAAGATCCTAGATGCGCTTTCAGCTTCTGGCCTTCGCGCGCTTCGATACGCCCACGAACTCCCCTTTGTCACGCAGGTGACGGCCAACGACCTTTCCCCCTCGGCGGCGAACCTGATCAAGACCAACGTCGAACATAACGGGCTAGCCGGCAAGATCCAGGTTAACAACGACGACGCCCTAGCCCTCATGTACCGCGCCATAGCCGAGGACCTTACCAACAAGGACACACGGACGGGCCAACCGGGCAAGACGAACAAGTTTGACGTCGTCGACCTGGACCCCTACGGCACGGGCGCTCCCTTCTTCGACGCTGCCGTGCAGGCTGTCCGCGATGATGGCGGACTCCTGTGCATCACGTGCACGGACAGCGCTGTGTGGGCAGGCCACAGCTACTGCGAGAAGTCCTTCTCCTTGTACGGCGGCACGCCGGTCAAGGGTATGCACTCGCACGAGGTCGGGCTGAGGCTCGTGCTCAACAGCATCGCCTCCTCGGCAGCCCGCTACGGGCTGGACATAGAACCGCAGCTGTGCATGTCCATCGACTTCTACACCAAGTTCTTCGTGCGCGTGACCCGGTCGCCGCAGAACGTCAAGTTCCTCGGAGCCAAGACTATGGTGCTGTACAGCTGCGACCACGGTTGCGGCGCCTGGCAGACGCAGTACCTCATGAAGAGCAAGGTGGCACCCAACAAGAAGGGTTCCGGAAACTACTACAAGCACGTCATGGCCCTGGGCCCCACGGCCGACCAGTTCTGCCCGCACTGCGGGACTAAAACGCACCTCAACGGCCCCATGTACGGCGGCCGCATCCACTCCCCCGACTTTGTGCGTCGCCTGCTCACCATGCTCCCCGATGCCGACCCGGCCGTCTACGGCACCAAGCAGCGCCTCGAGGGTATGCTGCAGACCGTCCTGGAGGAGAACATCACGACGGACGACTCCCTTGCGCCAGCGGAGAAGGTGAACCCCAAGGAGGATGCCGCCGCTGCCATAGACCCTTGCCCGTTCTACTTTGTGCCCTCGCGCCTCGCCGGCGTCATATCCTGCGCCTCGCCGCCAGACGGCATGGTCCGCGGCGCCCTGGCCCATCTTGGGTACCAGGTGTCGCGCAGCCACTGCCGCGCCGGGAGTATCAAGACGGATGCGCCCTGGTCTACGGTGTGGTGGATCATGACGGAGTGGGCCAGGCAAAAGGCCCCTGTCAAGGTGTCCAAGTTCAAGCCCGCCATGCCTGCGTGGAAGATTCTCAAGGATGCCGGTCTCCTCGGTGGAGACGAGGACACCTCCGCCAAGGCTGCCGACGATGCCAAGACTGAAGATGCCACGACCGAAGATGTCAAGGCCGAGGATGTCAAAGATGGAGAAGACACCAAGATGGCAGAGGACCTTGAGCCGCAGCAGAAGCAGGAGGATGCCACCACGCATGGAAAATCGTTAGAGGTGCAGGCCGATGTCCCGGAACAGGAACGCGAACTGCGAAAGAGTCTAGTCTTCGATGACGACCTCGCCCGTCGCGGTCAGCAAACCGAGGGGAGGCGTCTGGTGCGGTACCAGGCTAATCCGGAGAAGAACTGGGGTCCCATGAACAGGGCCAAGGCCCATTGATTTTGTCCTTCCACAGTCAGAATCCTGAGTCAGCTATATTTCAATGTATCATATTGTCACATGCCCTGAATTATTGCGTGCTCTGCAGACTAGGAAAAGGCCTTGCATTCGGGGTGTTTTACCGCTCACTGTTTAATACATGTTACCGCGGGGAAGGGAGCAAGATTTTAGAGCGAAGCATCAATGATTATAAATACAGCTGGTGCAATCCGACGACCATCAATCTAGAAAGGGAGAAGAAGAAGAAGAAGAAGAAGAAGAAAGAGAGAGAGAGACAGAGAGAGAAGAAAAAAAAATTCAATCTCGACAACATTTCACATCATCTCATCGAGAGAAATAAACCGTTTCTGGGTCATCTTATACCGTGACCTGCCGTCTACCATGAGCAGCAGCAGCACGTCTCCAAATGAGGGGCATCCACCCACTCGGATCGAGGCGGGGTCATCCATCGCCGTGACAGACGGACAGCTCAGATTTGACAGCGGCAACGGCGACATCTACCTCGACACCAAGGACGTTCTTCTCGTCATCCCCAAGTCTCCGGAGGGCTTCACGATATGCAGTCTCAAGGAGGAACCGGCTCTCGAGCTGATACTGGTCGAGTCGTCCTCATCCTCGCTGCCCGATATCCTCCGGCCGCTGGCACTGGACAAGGCAGGAAGCCTGCCTGATCACCTCGTCAGCAGCGCCACGCACAGCGTCGACATCATCGTGTCGGTCAAGTCAGGCACGGGGACGGCTCTTGTATTCTGGCAGGACGTGCTGCGGCCTCTCCTGCAGCTGGTCGCTCCGCAGGGCCGAGAAGCCTCTGACGGTGTGGCTCACAATGTGGTCATCACCCAGAGTGCGGACAGCATATCGCAGTTCGCGCAAGAGCTGTGGTCCTCGCTGTCGTCGCCAGACAAGTCCAGGACGGTTGTCCTCCTCACCGGCGACGGCGGTATAGTGGACCTGCTCCGGCAGCGGGAGGTGGATGGCGACGGTGACGGTAAAGATGGCAGCGCGCCGGCCACGCGGCCGACGGTGAGCCTGATGCCTCTCGGCACGGGCAACGCGCTCTTCCACTCGCTCCACAAGCCGCTGTACGCTGCAGGAGACGGCGGGCCATCGCCGCTGGTGGTGGCCGTGCGCACGCTCTTCCGGGGACAGGCCTCGCCCCTGCCGATCTTCCGCGCCTCCTTCACCGAGGGGTCGTACATCGTGCCACCCGGCGGCGGCGGGGTCGCCGACGAGCGTCAGAGCCCTCCCGCGAGGGTGAGGCACCTCGACGGCGCCGTCGTGGCCAGCTACGGGTTCCACGCTAGCCTCACGTACGAGAGCGACACGCCAGAGTACCGCGTCCACGGGGCCAAGCGTTTCGGCATGGCGGCCCAGGAGCTGCTGCGCACGTCGCACGCGTACGCCGCCACGCTGGAGATGAGGGCACCGGGCTCCCCGACCTTGGAGACCGCTGGTGGGCGCGACGGCACGCACTCGTACGTGCTCGCGTCGCTGGTGTCCAACCTCGAGCGCACCTTTACCATATCCCCAGACGCCAGGCCGCTGGACGGGCAGCTGAGGGTCGTGCACTTTGGCGATGTCGGTCGTGAGCGCACCATGGAGGCCATGACGAAGGCGTACGATGGGGGCAAGCATGTCCACGTGGCGTGGCCCGACGGCCAGAAGGTACACTACGAACCTGTCGAGGAGATGCGCGTCACCATCAGGGAGGACGAGGACCGATGGTGCAAGGTCTGCATCGATGGGACTACTGTGCATGTCCCTACAGGGGGACAGATGAACGTACGGATGCTGGAAGAGACTCCTCTGCAGGTTCTCATCAACCCGGATGTGCTTCTCAATACATGAAATGAAATATAATCACGGTTGGGGAAGGGAGGGGGGGGGGTTGTATAAAAATAAAAAATAAAAAATAAAAAAAGACATTCGAAAAAAAAAGACCAAACTTTTCTTTATTCATATCCTATCCCTATCTACAGTGATGAACCTGCCCTGCCCGGCCCGCCTGGCACGTATATGCTTCTCGACGCGGGCCGCATTCTCGAGCGCGTCCGCGTAGGCCGCCGACTCCGAGGGCATGGCGTCCTCTGCGGGCTCCCAGCCTACGCGCAGCTTCAGATGGCTAATCTTGCTCCAGCTGGCGGCCCAGTCGACAAAGTCGTGGTCCGACCTCTCCATCAGGGCCGGGAACCAGGCCGCGCACCCCGTCAGGTCGAGGTACTCCAGCTCGTACAGGTTGCGGCTGAGCATGCGCAGCACGAGGAGGGCCTCGCTCCAGTCCCCGTCCAGCGAGTGCGAGTACATGTCTGTGCCGGCGTAGGCCAAGTTTGCCGGGCCGATCGAGGCCGAGCCGACCATCCTGGACTGCTGGCTGGCGCGCGAGACGAGGCACGGCGCCGGCCAGTACGCCAGGCTGAGGTGCGTTATCGCCGAGGATGCACGCGACGAGAAGGTGAGCAGCTGCTTCCACGACGCGCCAGAGCCGTCCCGCGGGTCAAGGGCCAGCGACACGTGCGAGAGGTTGGGAAGCAAGGTGCGTGGAGGTCCCGCTGCTGCCGATGGTGTCGTCACCGCCGCCGTGGTGCCGTCGCCGCCGCTTGCTTCCGTCGCAGCCTCGTACCATGATTCCTGTGGCTCCTCGTATACGGTGACGGGTGGTCTGGGCGGGAATACAAGGTCTGTCAGCTCCTTGAGCGTCAAGGTCCGACCGAGAGAGCCGCTGACGTCGAGGTAGGTCACGTCGCCCAGGCCGTCAGGCTCTCCAACCCGCAGCCCCTCATCCTCACCTTCGGTAAGAGGATCTGCTGTAGGAGGAGAGGGAGGAGGAGGAGGAGGAGGTAGCAAGATGATCTTGAGGTCTCCCAGCGACACGCCGCTGAAGACGCTGATGTAGCGGATAAGTGCAAGCTTGAGGTGGGTCGGTAGGTGGTAGAGGTGGTACACGTTGTATATGCGCTGAAATTCCCACTCCAGCGCAATATTACGGAGGACAAGGTCGATGAGGCTCCCCTTCGAATGGAGGTCCACGCCCGGCAGGGCGTCTGCGGTGATGATGGTGGTGGTGGCAGACGACGCTCGAGCCAGTGGTGAGCTGGGATCCATCAGGCGAGACGAGGTACCGTTCCTGCCATGTTCGTTCCTCCCGGATACCCAACTGCGAGGTGGTGGGGGTCCCGGGGGTAGACGCCGACCGGCTTGGTCGAAGCGTACTCGTCCTGGACGTCGGGGAGCGATGGGCGGTGCCTCGGGGATCTGGAGAATCTCCCGGATGGCGGGTGGAACGCTGGGACTGTTCCCTGCCAAGCTGGGGTTTATCGATGATGATGAAGGCGACCCAGGCGCACGTCGTAGATTGGCCAGTATATCATTGACACTCCTCGTAGACTTTCTTTCTGTAACCGTTGTATTTATCTCTGTTTAATAAATCCTTCTTCTTCTTCAACTCGATCTTCTTCCTCCCCCGCGAGGCATTCATTTTCCCACCATCAACTCAACTCAACTCGGACGGGAACAGGGACATTCCCCCACCCCCGTCACTTGAACAGGAGAGAGAGAGGGGGGGGGGGGGGAGAGGATACGTACCGGAAGATGCCGGGGTTACCGGTAACCGTGGCTTGTAAGACCAGTTTTGCTGGTACCTCTTCTTAGGCATCCCCCGGATACGGGACACGCTTCACTGCGCGCGTTCGAGGCTTGGTGTAACGAGACAAGCCACTTGGCTGCGGTTCTCCGCCGGGATGAGTAGGGGGGGGCAAGGCGGTCAGGAGAGGATGCGAACCTGACTGAAGGGAGCGTGTGGCCTTGAAGAGAGGCAGACAAGAGAGGATGAGGAGGCTTGCGGAGTCGGGGGAAAACGGTACTATCGTAAGACGAATCACTGTCCTGTCCGTTCCTGATCGAATGATGGCGACGACGATGATGGCGGATGAGTCCTATGATTGCAGTGGTGGATACTATATGGCGTGGTGATATGCATGTGCCGTGTTGTGTATGTATGATGTATTGTTGTTATTCGAGAGTATCACTACTACACCCCCCCCACCACCATCTTTACACAGTATGGACAATTATATCTCACTTGGAATGGCACGGTGTCGATTATGGTAATACAATACAAGTAGGTGGTATAATATTCTGAAATATTACTACTATACTACTATATAAAATAATATTATATTTAAAAATAAAAATAAACTAATAAACTAATAATACTCCATTACTCGTACATGATAATACTTGTGGTTTGATATGAGAATAATACGTCTTAGTGGCACCGCATAGCTGTCGCATATGTGTATATGTAGTAATATATACGAGACCTTTACCGGCTCGCCACTGTTTTTTTTTTCTTTTCTTTTTCTTCTTTTTGAGCAGAACATCACTTTTGTTTTTTCTTTTCCCTCTGTTCCTCTCTTCTTCTTCGTGACCAACCGTATACAGTCATCATCTTCATCGCCAACAGCTCCCGTGTGACACAGACACGTACCGAGTCGCCATATGAGCCAACTGACAGCTGACCAGCCCGCAATGATACGATAAGTGTGTGTCTCCGAGCCTTGTCAAAACATTCCTGCACCTTTCGGAACCATCTCTCTACACCTTCCAACATAATCACATAGGTTTCGTGCCTTGTCTCCCTGCCTAGCCTCGGTGAGCGGAGTATTATCCCTGTCATGCAACCCACACCTGACATAGCCCGTCGGCCTCATATTACGTATGACTTCTCTTGGGCATGTAGTCACACGAAAGGCCTCCCCGTCTCTGTCGATATAGTCTGTTATCTCTGCCGTCAATCTTGCTCTCTTCCTAACCTCGCTAGAGACTTGCTAGGGCAGCTTGACATGCTCATTGTTCTCGACATCATGCACGGCCACAACCGTTTGGTCCCCAGATCTGTCTGCTTGAACACACTGGTCAAAGTTGCAAGTCGTGGTGGGACTGCTATGACTGTCTGTCACGAAGTCATTGAGGTTTTTTTTCTTCTTTTTTTTTCTTTTGATTTCCCCCGTGAGCTGGTTGAAACAGAAAGTCTCTCGCCTTTCTGGCCCTCCATTCTCTACAGCTGCAGGCTCTTGGCGCCCGAGATCTTCCCATGCATGCTTCTCATGTCGCCCGGAGGGCAAGATCAAGCCTGCCTTGGACAAAGGTTCTCAGCATCGTCGAGGATCTCGAGGATTTCGACGTCGAAACAGCAGGGAAAATTGGACCACGTGCAGGCACGTAGAAAAATAGAGAATGACGGGTGCCTATGTGCGTCCTCGAGAGCAGCGAGCTGGTCGTCAGTTGAGAGCAGCTGGTCAAGATCAATCCCTCCCGACAAGGAGCTGTTCTGGCACAATGCTCCCTCCTCTCGGTACGCTATAGATAGAGCAACTCACCCACGTTGCTCGTCCCGTCTATGCAGCAGATGATCAGAGAGCTCTTCTTTGGGAAACTGAGGTAGAACTCACCAGTCGTAGTATATGATCGAGATCAGCATCCGGCGTCAAACGCGAATTTAGGCATGCTGGGTGCCTTCTCTCCAAGACTGTTACCGCGCTGCGTAGGTTGCTTCGGGCGGCTTCCGTTAAGTTCGGTCAGCACGATTCCGAATCTTGTATGGTGAGGATAGGAAGAAACTTGCCTCGCAGAGTGGTGGCGCGGTAGTGCTAGAGCATCATCACCTTCATCTCGTGAGAGCCTTGAGCCACCTTCATGCCTCCTCCGCATGAAGCTGCTACTAGGTGTTACGGTATTATTGCTGAAGCGGAATTTCTTTTATAGTTCATCTTGATTTTCAGTATCTTTTTTTTTTCGTTTTTTTCGTATTCTTAGTGAGCAGTTAGTATTGGTATCGGTAAGTCTTCGTATCATCATTACCTCGGTATCAGTATGTCAGAGATGAAAGCGGCGAAGGGATGAGCTGTCTATGCGGAGGCTACTGTTTCTTTCTCGCACTTGGCCATATCACCGGTACTGATTATATTACTTGATCGTACCTACAGCAGTCATAGATGACCAGAAGTGAAAGGAGCTCGACCCAACAATGATATCAAAGAAGCCATGTATATGCATACATGCATACACACCCTTACCTAGCTATACGCATTTTCATCGACGCCCAGATTGTTGCCTCATCTCTGCAACTCATCGAGCCGATGAAGCTATTTTGACGGCTGAAACCATGTGCTCTACAACAAGTAGTCATGGGCAGCAAAATCGGAACTAGTCCTTCATGTCACGCGTGAACCCACCATCGACACGCTCTCGATTGTCGCCTTTCAACTCGCCAAAGTCAAGGGGGTTGCGTATAATACGTGATATCATGTCGACTGTCTCTCTCCTACTACCCTCCTCCCTCCAATCCTGATCGGTTTCCATCCCCTGTCAATGCCGAGCGCGAAAGGTCTGAAAAGGAGGCGCGTAGACATGGCGGTCACGTATCGAGTGGAACGACATCAATGTTTTCTCTGTTTTCTTTTTTCTTGTTTTTGTTTTTTCTCCTTCTTTCCTCCCTTCGGCCTCGGTTAAACTCCACGAACGCTGAAACCAGACCTATGTAGTACACTAGGAAAAAGTAAGAAGTGAGGCATTATCACGGGTCTGAGACAATATTCAGCATGAAGAGCACACGCACACGCACACGTACACGATAGACGTAAATGATACAGATGCCTTGTCATGTGTCGCTGACCACCAAGCTGGGGGAGAAACCAGCCACCTCTATAGATGGAGAGCGACGCGTTTAGCCTCCCGGCCGTGTCCTTCGCTTATCCCAGACCCAATGGATGGGCTTTCCGTACCCGGTATCGGGAGGGATATGCCTTAGGATGGGGGGGGGGGTTGAAAGCCTGAATCACAGGACAGAATCTCGTCAGAACTGATTTTGCCTTGTGCTACTGGGATTTCCTTGGCAGCCGCCTAATTTGCCTAGAGGTTCTGTTACGAAGTTCCAGGCTCCCTGTCTCTTAGGGTCCTGTCTTGTAGAGTCCTTTCTTCAGCCCCTTGTTCTCCCTTCCCGCTCTCGCATATGCCTGTAGACGTGGGCTCAGTCACGCGCGAGCATCCACGAATGGGGGAGGGCTGTGGATCCCCTAGAGCGAGAGAGAGAGAGAGAGAGTACGCGTGGCATGCATCTGCACATGCTTTCATTGAGGGGCCGAGCTCCTGATAAACGATGAGTGTCGGGACGGGCCCTAGCCTTGCTCAGCTCGTGAACATGGCCAACGCCAATATCCAAGAAGTGGCCTTCCTTCCGGTTCCCCCCCCCCCCCCCCCCCCCTCTCACTCTCTTTTTTTTGGATTTCATATCCGCGAAAGATCATACCAAAAGACAGAGTGCTCTTATAGACTCCAGTCACGAAGCTGCAGGTCTATGCATGCATGTCTCCCTCCTCTCTATTCCTACCACATGAGGAAGCCTCGTTATAGACATCGGCACGTACGGACAGTCATGGGCTTAGGTTCAACGATCAATGCCGACAGCATGGTATACACCGTTTGCAGCCGCAAAATAAACCATGACACTCGTAGGTTTACGTACTGCACCTCTCTCTCTCTGTGTGTGTGTGGGGGGGGGGGGGGGGGATCCCTACCCCTTCCCATCCTTTGACCCCCTTCTTCCTGTATCGTGGGCGTCCATATACGATCTGTCTTAGATTGCGGGCTACCATCGATATTAGAGATCACAATGTGACAACCGGGACTCAGTTGCTGGAAGAATGATCCGGCACCACGGGTAATCGAACCACATAACAGGGAGCTTCCGTAATCAGTACAGGCAGAAGAGGACGACACGGCACGGACGAGGAGCATGGACAAGCACCTTTTCTTTCCTCTCCCCCTCGGAACAGTGGATGCGCACAGACATACGCGTAAGAAGAAGAAGAAAAATCCTATGGCAGTTTCAGATAATGATGAGAGAAGTTCATACCGATGAGCTATAGCGAACATGCTAGTGCTGATCCTCGACCTCCATCCGTCAACTATTACTAGTCAGTATTAGTATATATCACTATCACTACTGATGTATAGTGGAGGTACGTGCGAGTTCCACGCATGTATTATAGCCACCATCTGCACCCTAATAGCTGGAAACAGGTACCTTGGTAGGGTAGCATCCCGGAGCCCCATGGGCGTGGTTTTCTCCGGATGATATAAGCGGTCTACTTGATTGAGACATGTGTGTGGATATAGATATATATATATATATATACATATATACATATATATGTGCGCTATAGACCACGCACTAATACTACTAGTACTATTATGAGCAATTGTAGACTTTTAATGACATCTGTTTAACCACAACTCCTTTATCGTCAGAAACACCTAGAAAACATGATTTTCTCTCGACGAGAAATGAGACCCCTAGAAGTCTCGGTACACCGCACAGCTTTCCTTCCTGAATAGCCTCGATGCGAACGAAGCAACCTGCCACTCATTGGGATTTCCCCTCCCACCTTTCCAAGAAGAGAGAGCTACTACAACAGTCCCGGAGGGAAAGCAGACAGGAGGGGGGGAGAAGATCTTTCCAAACAAGGAGTGGTCCTAAGTGATGAATATACCACCAGAAATCGACCACAATGCCATCGCACGAGACCTCTTTCTTGTCCTCAACCTGGGACAGCCGCCCGAAAAGCCTCGGTACGACGGGTACAGGCAGAACAG